ACCCACTCATTTAATTTGGTCCAAGTAACTTCTCTCGCTGAAAGAAAAGAAAAAGAGGTTAAAATGGGTTTGAATCATCAGCATGGGCAGGCAGAACCATTGGACTCGGAATTTGGAATGGGATTGAGCAAGGCCCTGGACGTTTACAGCATCGTCGCCTTGTTCCTGGCCTGGCTTTTGCTCATCTATTTGACATGCAAGGCGAGACGGGGTCGCATCTGGGCTCTCGCCTACTATGGGCTCGGGTGCGCGAAATATATGTCTTCATAATAACGTGTAGAACTTTTTTTCGATTAAGGGCCGCATCATATTGGCTTAATTTTTGAGGGAAATGTTTAGCGCAAGTTTTCTATAGTTGTCACGATTCCATATTTTGACGAGCTTACATCGAAATTAATCAGGTGGATATTTTAGTTGATTTCCGCCCCGCGAAATCCTTATAACTTTGGGTGTAGACTCTGCAGCAGATCCTCCAAAAAAGAAAATAAATTTTAAAGGAATTTTTATGATAAATTTTCAAAGCGTATATTTCTGATCTTTCATGCCCAAAATGCAAGTAGGTGATGCCTGAAAACTCATATAGAGGTGGTACCTTGTAATTTGACCACCCCAAAATTTGTCCCTCCTGTGCCAGGAATAAATCCGTGAAAAATGAAGATATTTAAAATAAAGATTTGAACTTAGGAGTATTTGATTTCAGGTATGAATAAATGAGACAACAGAATTTGGTTGGGCTACAACTGAGGTGAAATCTCACCCTATTTTAAAGTTTTTGTAATTCAAAGTTTCAAACACACAGTCAATACACGTAATGTTCACAAACACGCAGGAGTATCTTGTATGAGAGCTCAGAGAAGAGTGAGGATTTTGATGAATTCTGAAACCAGGAAAACTATCCTCCAAGGACAAATAACAGAACCAGGATTTGGCAATAAAAAACAGCCTTGGAGGCTTCCAGAAAGAGTGTGTGTGAACCAAGGTCTTCCCCAATTCACACAGAGATGCACAAGGACAAGTCTTCCCAAGAATTTGGACTCCCAATATTATCATTCAGCATAACTCTAGCATTTTTTTGCAACATTCTCCAATTCAATGGTTGAATTTGTGGGTAGATTGACTTGCAATTCAACTTCAGCCCTTCTATTCAACCCACAGAGAGGTGCAAAAATGTCCAATATGATGTAGATAACATTGCATTAGCATCTTGCATTAACATTGCTTAGCAATTTGACTGCTTCACAATTTGACCCTAGCCCATCAGCAATGGATTAGAGGTTTGAATTGCGGGGCACCACCTGGATTGAAAACTTTGTTTTGTCAAATTTGACTCATGTCATGATTTTATTTCTCATGGTGAATATGGTGAATATTTTTTTACAAATGCATGAATTTCAGCAAGTTTTGAGATGAAACTTTTAAATTATTTATGAAGACCAGGTAAATGTTATAAAAGAGATGAGTGGTGCAGGTGGTGCCCTGCAATTCAAGCTTAATCTGTTGCTGGACTAGGGTCAAATTGCAAGACAACATCAAATGGCATGTTTGTGCATGGCATTTTGGCATTTTCTGTCTCTCTGCAGGTTGAATTGCACAGCAGAGGTCTAAAGGCAAGTTGACCTCCCAGAAAATTCAACTGTACAATTCCAGGATGGTCTAATTGTGGGAGGTTGAATTGCAAGGTACCACCTGGATGTATAGTTATATTTTCTAGCTGCAAAGATTTTTGGAGTTCTGAAGTTGAAAGCTTGAACGTCAGAATTACTTGGATTTTTAAACTGTGCAGTTTTATTTTAGCCTTTTTTTAAATAATTACTTGACAGGGGATTTTAAGGTCTAGGAAGCATTTCACTGTCTGGAATATATTCAGTATTTCTCAATTGATATTTCAGCATATAACCACGTCTTTCCTAATCCTGGATTAGATTATTTCATAAGGCGGGAACCTCTTTGTGCACCTTTTTCTTTTAAACCCCGTTAGAGATGATTAAAAACAAAAAAATTTGAACTCATTATGCTTTTATAACTAATATAGATAATACCAATGGATGTTTTCTGTGTATAGTAATTCAGCTACATGGAAACATTTTCTTGCGGGCCTTTCAAAAAAATGTCCCATTTTCCAGCTGTGGTCCATGCACGAGTCTCGAGTTTAAAAACTATTTCATTTACTTCATTAATCCACATTGAACGAGATGCTCCCAGGATTCTCCGTAATTCCTTTCCATTCAAGAACTTTTCCGAGTACTGCGAGGAGGAAAAAGTGAAAAGTTTAATAATAAAAAAAAACGAGCAGTTCTTGAAGCTGTCATTTCTCCACTGGTTCCCTCATCAACTCCCTGTTTGTGCTCCTTGTTAACATCGGGATTGTTTTCGATAAAGAAATCGCTCCACAGCAATTTTAATGAGCCAAAAAAGTCAAGTTTATGTCACGCAAAAAGCAATTACAAACTTTCCGAATCCGACGTTCGAATCGATCTGATGTACCTTATTTGCTCAAAATTGAGAATTTTAATACAACGAGAAAAATTTTTTTTAGTAGATTAAAAAATTAATCTAAAAAACCACATTAGCGGACAAATAAACAGACAAGAAAGCGAGTTAATAAAAACGTGTTAAAATACACAAAAACGTGGGTCTGTCCACCAGCTTTATTTAACCCACTATAGTTGTTCACAGCTGTTTTAGTTGACAGGATTTTCTAAAAAAAAAAAACGGAAAAAGTGTCTAACAAGTCAATTAAGCATAGTGCTATGATTTTAAATTAATGGGTACTATGTACCAAAGGTACTCAGAAAGTTGGATGCCTGTTAGTTTCTGTGTCTTAGAGTGGATTTGTTCCTGAAACCATGTTGGGAAACCGCCGCACTCGCATGCCAAACAATGCAAAAATTTAATTATTATAAATAAAATAAAACCTTTAAATCTGATAAGAGTTCCAACCCTCAAAGGGAAGGAACTCACCAAGGCAAACCACCTAAAAAATAACAATGAAAGACAAGTTTTAATTTCTGCTGCTCCCGAATTTACCAAAGAACAAACACCACTTGCTATTCGAACCTTTGAAGTGTACATATCGCAAAATATTACAAAGTTTTGTGGAGTTCTGTTGAGTGTTGTGTTGTTCAAAAACTAATATTTGTGTGTCATACTTTTGTGGGACAGAAATTCGAAATATGTTTCTAAATTAAATTAGGGAAACCAAAAAAGGGTTCCCGGCCTTGTCCCAGGCTGATTCTGCTTTTTATTTCAACATTTTTGAACTTTACTTTACCCATTTATTGATTCAACATAAAAATTCAACATATTTATGTTAAGGTAAGTTCTTCCTCAACAAACCAGTTTAAACTGTCCTAGTAGGTTTAATTTGCTTCTGTTAGCTGTTCATTAAAAAAAATATGAGTAACATATATGTTGCCAGTGCACATTATTCTGGCAGTTCAGCGTGACAAGCTCTTTTCATGATGAAATCTCCTGTCTTTCATTTGTATTGAATATTCATTTAAATTGAGCATGTTGCTTTGAACTGCGAAGAGTTTGACAAATTGGAGATCATTATACCGTATCATCAACCAAACGTGAGATTTCTTCAAAGAATCTAGTCGTGTGGAAAAATTCTGCACCGCAGTAAAATTATTTTTCTTCATTACGTGCACATGCCTTTGATTTTTTATAACCTGCTATTAACAAAAAGTAAAAAATTTGGCATGAGATTTTTTTTAATTCCTGTCAAACGAAAAATTCGGCTGCCAAATCTAGTCTATGCTTCATTTGCATAAGGTCGTTGAAAGAAGAATTCCCGCCATTTTAAATGTTCTTAATATAGAATTACGTGGATAAGAAACATTTGCTAATTTTCTCGAATGTTTCAAATTTACATATGTTTCTCTCATATATGCAGATTGAACACACTTGGCGCTCGGTTCAACAGAGGGTTCATGCTCAAACGCGATTCTCCGCCAGATTCAAATTTTGAAAAATTCATAGCACTCGGACCCGAGCATTTGAGAGACCCGGAAGCGCTGAAATTGGAGAAGAAGAAGAGTCGAATCAATTTTCACGCTGATGTTTGAAAAATTCTTAATCGGCTCTGTTTACAAATTTTTATTCACACTTTTTTTTAATCTCTTCTACGCGCTTCTCTGTAGTGCCTTCGATCGGAATATATATTTTTTGCGACGATCCGATTTTTCCTGAACTTAATCTCAATTATCCGTGAAATTTTCTCAGTGAAAGTTTACAGGGTGGGCCAAAAACAAGTAAACCGTTTATTTACTTGAAATAACTTGGTAAAAAAAAAAAAGCTGTGACAATGAAAAAAAGCACCAAATGAAAGCTTGTTCAATTCTCTGTCAAATCGTATGTCTTTTGGGACCATAAAACTAAAAACCATTTGAAATACAATTCAACAAGCTTTCATTTAGCTTTTTTTCATTGCCACAGCTCAATTTGCTACCGAGCTTTTTCAAATGTAAAAAAAAATTCCGGTTCACTTTTTGAGACCCACCCTGTATAATGTAAAAGGCATTGTGAAGTTTTGTTTTCTCCTGGTGCGTTCGACGTTTGAGCCCACAAATTGCATATTGACGACATATGTGAGAAAAAGATTGTGCTCCAAAGAAATCTCACAAAGAGGGAAATATAGTGCTGTGAATTAATTGTTTAAAATCAAATAAAGGCTTGAAAAGATGCTTTTAGCTTTGACAAAGTCTGTCAAGTAGAAATTCAATGCTTTTGTTTTTTTGTTTTTGCAAATAGAGATGAAAGAAAAACACTTATGAGCAGCTGGGACAATTTCGTCCTATTCTAAGATGGTTTATTTTGGAAAAATGGGAATTTCATTTCGCCTTTCGAAATTTTGCACAATTACGCAAAGCTTCTCTAAATGGAGATCAGCTCAGGTTTGCAACTGGAATGAAAGTGTTTATGATCAGCAGAATTCAGGAATCAGGAAACGAAGAGTTGAAGTACAAGGAATACAAAGGATAATAGTTTATTTAGAAATGTCCTTGCTGGGCCCGGGAACCAAACTTGAGTTTGTTTCACAGGCTCCAGAAGAAGCTACAAATTTTTTTTTAAGGATTAGTGAGGAAGAATTACTTGTCTGGTGCCAAATTATTGGCTTGCCAAAGTTTTTTCCAACAACATACACCTCACAAATTATTTGAAATGTATTTGCAAAGTTAAACACATTGTTTCTTTGTTGTTCAACTTGCATCTTTTCCCAGCATAACCATCAGCAGAAGAGAAACCTCTTCAATTAACACTGAACCATTTTTTTTTTTTAATTATGTTTCAGAATTTCGCTGACGCTCTCGTGTCCCATGGACCTGAAGCTTTACCCGCTGGATCGACAGACTTGTCAACTCAGGATGGCGTCATGTAAGTGCTGAATTTACCATTATTTGTCCTCTTCGAAACTGACTGCTATAACGTGAATAAGTTCCAGTGTCGAAACACGGCGAAGAAAAAAGCAATCAAGAACCTTATTCATGAGTAATATAAAGTAAACCATTGAAATGTTCCTGTCGAAAGTTCCCCGACGCGGAGTCGAATTATGGAGAGATGCAAATATCTTCTCCGCGCGTGGCGCCACTCTCAGGGCAGTAGAGTGCGCAAAATGCCATCGGGAAAAAGAAATCAGAAAAACTTTTTACAACTTCCGTGTTCCTCCTTTTCTTTCATCCTTCGTCTCATCCTTCGCCGGCACGTGCTCATCTTTTACTTATTTTATTTTATTTTTTCGGGAAAAGGGGAAATTATGAAAGTTTCTGCGCGAGTGAATATGTCGTCGTGATGAGTCAGGCGCAAACAATGCAACCTCATTAAGAGCGGCGACGCGAGTTCAGGAAACTCCAGCGCAATTGGAAAAGACATTAAAAATTGTCTTTTCCTGGAATGCTCCCTGATGGGAAATCTAATGCGGAAGTTTTCCCGGAATTCTGATCACTATTCCTATATCCCGGAAATTGGAAATGTTGGGGATGAATAATCGAATCTGGTACAGGGGACTACTTGGTTGTGGGGGACTTCAGAAGAAAATGATTTGCACTGAGAATAATTTATTCTAGAAAGATTCTTGAAATTATTGATTGGGGACTTGGTTTCAAATTAGACCTGCACATACAGGGTGTACCTCACAATTTTACCCTGATCTGTTGCAAAACCAGGGTCGAATTGCAAAGCAGTTGAATTATGAGACACTTCGTGAATTTCGTAAATATCAGTACAAAAGTGCAACAACAAAAAAGTGGCCAAAGCAGGTCAAATTGCGGGGCATAAGGGTTGAATAGCAAGTCAACCTCCCTGCAAATTTGAGTGTAAAATTGTGGGATACAGTAGTTGAATTGTGGGAGGTCAAAGTGCAAGGTATCACCTGTACAAGTGTTCCAAACCTTTTTTGCGTGGCCTTTTTTAGATGCTCTACTTCATTAGAATGACTGTGATCAATCAAAAAATCCTTGGCCACTGATGTCAACAATATTGAAATATTTGTGCTATACTTTCTTCCCCAGATAATTTTTTTTTTACTTGAGTATCTCATGCCCTTGAGTGGGACGTCCTCCAGGATTTTTCAGTCTAAAATTTTGATGAAATCCCATCTCAGTGTGGCACCCCATTTTCACTGATGACTGAAAAACTGCAATGTTTCAAAAATAAGATTCATCAGAATTAAAATTTGACATAAATTCAATCTGAATTCAATTTATTTTCAATTGTTTGGCTATTAAAAATTTCCCTGTCAAAATCGGTCAAAAATGTTCCATCATGGAATCTACTGACGAACACCTATACTGATAAAAAAAAATTGATTTTATCCATGATGCCTATGCTATACACGCCTTCATCCCCCCCCCCCCCTTAAATTTTGAGAAAAAAGTTAGTAATTAAATAGTAGTAAGTATTAAATTATTTGAATTCGTGTGTGATGGAAGGTTTTCATACATGTAGCAAAATGTAGTGCACGACCACCTATAGGATTGGTCAGTAGCTTAACAGTGACATCTATCCTCATCAAAACAATCTCTTGTCAGATCAGACAGGAGAAAATTCATGGACATGACTAAAAAATACAGTATCTCAAAGTGCAGTAACCTTCGGAACACCCTGCTGTGTTCACTAATTTTTTCAATGGCTTATTAGTTCAGACATTTCCTTGCTACTCATTTAAAAATACTGCGGTGAAGATTATGTATTCTTCTCAGCTGTAAATGCTCTTCTAATGTATAAGTCTATTTCTCTTTCCAATTTGAATGAATCAACTGTTATTCGAAGAGAATCCGGATGAAGTTGTCTGTTTACCATGCTTCTGAATGGAAGTCAATCCAGGGTCCAATTATGAATCACATACTTGAGGAAGTCGCGACATTAATGAACTCCTCCAGCACTCCCACTAACCCACTTATACTCTTTCGTTTATTTTCGTTTCTGCCACGTGAGTCAGAATGATGTATTGTAATGTACTGGTGCTGGGCATGACGATGAGTCGTCTCGTCAGGACTGTACATACTGTACATATATATACGGTAATTGGGGATAGACGCGAAAATGTCCAGAAGGAAGCCACATGATGGACACAAAGTCCCATCAATCTTCGCGTGAGGAAAATGTCCTCGCGGCTCTGCCGTGCCCGCACATCAAAGAGCTCTCGTCTCGTCGGTACTTGTGGTGTTTGCTAGCCTGGAACAACGCCGTCCTTGGCCTGGAAAAGTGGTCCTGTGGTCATCAGTCTCAGGCCCCGTTTTATTTGCTGAACTGATGTGTTCCTTTTTCGTTCGTCCGTGTATAACTTTGAATCATCCCCTTCAGCAAAAGAGACGTATACCATCTGCGGGAAATTTTCTTGTCCACGTGTTTTGGCGCGAGCGCTACTCGGCGGATTATTTTTCTATGCTCCCTTTTTTTTTTGTCTGTGCTTTCGGAAAAGTTTTGGTTCAAGCCCTGCAGCAAAAATTGCATGTGAGCTAGGGCATAACTGGATGTGGGGAATTTGTGTTTTTTTTTGCTACTGTTAACCTAGAAACGTTTACACTTGCTGCAAGGACTTTTTTCCCTCATCCAAATTGCCTTCTTCATCTTCAAGGATAAAGATTCTGTCCCCATCTGCAGCTGTTTCCTTGTTTTGGTTCCTTTTCGCTCATGCTACCCTGCATTAGTGCATGAGGCTTTTCTTATTAAAATCATGTACAGTGTACAGTATATACTTTTCTTTCACTGCCAACAGTGACTGATGATGTGTGCCATTACTACTTCTTTTCAAATGTGAAATCAAAGAGAAAAATCTCTCAGTGAATGTTATGCATTTAGAAATAATGGTACTTTCCTGTTATCTCAGTACCTCATTCCTAGACTGCACTACCATCCAGACAAATCTTTAGGATGAGTTCATAATCACAACAACCTACCAGATACTGTGAATTTTATTTTTCTGCATTCTGCTGAAACTGATTTTGGGAGGTGGTTAGGTGAAGTTAGGTTAGGTCAGGTTATGTTAGTTACAAATATATTTTAATTAACATAACCTGACCTAACCTAACTTTACCTAACCGCCTTCCAAAATCAGTTTCAGCAGAAACCCAAAGAGAGCAGAAACTGATTTTGGGAGCGGTTAGATGAATTTTGGTTAGGTCAGGTTAAATTGGTCAGAGCAAAGGTACGGGGATAACAGGAAAGTAGGTACTAAGATAACAGGAAAGTACCAAAATAATTGTGATGCACATGTTGAAATATTTCAACAGTCTATTCATGAGACCCAGAAGTCATGATAAAAAAGTAAAGGAATCTTGCTTGTCCTCACTTCCTCAAAGATATAAATATTACCTCCACACTGAAATATTCTCCAGAATTAATCCCGGCTGGATTGCAGTTATTCATCAGAAAAGCTTTCAAATGTTTCAGCAAGACTTCCTCATCAAAACTCTGTTTGAATATTTATTGTCTGCCTGTGTAATTGAAATGCATCTTGTTTATTTTATTGTGTGTGAAATTTTATGTTTAGAATATGTTCTAAATATGTTCTTAGAACATATTCTTAAAGCATACAGATGGTTGGTGACTGACGATCTTGTGTTTTTGATGAAAAGAGTTAGAATATGTTATTTTCATAATTTTGTATTTAACATTAAATCCCCAGCATTGAAAGGCAGGCAATATCTTCGGGAATTTTTTGGTCGAAGGTTCAGCTCTATACTTGGCAAATTATTATTATTTTGCCTCCACAATCAAAAAATTTTTGGTAAAACTCCCACAGCAACAATTGGACAAGGGCAAATGCACAACTGGATGATTTCTCATCTCTTAATAAACCAATGAATTCAAGAGCTTTTTGAGAAAATAATTTACACGCTATATAATCTTTTTGCAAACAATTCATTGGGACTTTCGTAAATTGCTTTCACATGAAGGTACAAATGACATCGTGTCTACATCGCAGGGATTTTCTTCCTGCAGATTTTATTTCAACAATATGATGCGGTACTTTTGTGTATGTGCTTAATTTTTTTTAAATTCTCTTTCAGATGGTTGGACGACTGACGATCTGGTGTTTTTGTGGAAAGACGGCGACCCTGTGCAAATCGTCAAGAAGCTCCACTTGCCCAGGTTTACTTTGGAAAAGTTCTTCACCGACTACTGCAACTCCAAGACCAACACGGGTGAGTTGTTTTTTTTTTGTCAATTTTTTTTTTCAGCATCACACACAAAATCTCGTAGCACATTTATCTGGAAACGCTGTCAATCTATGATTTTTTTTCTTCAATTGAAGAGAAACGGAGAGAGAGAGGTTTTAGAATGATAAGTTTGATCAGCAAATGACACACGCACAATTTTTTTTTATATGCGAGGTGAAATTATGAAGCCACGCATGAAATAATCTTTATTTCACGAAGGAAAGTTTTTGGAACTAGGGGAAAAACGTTTTCACACTGACGTTTTTCTATATATATTTTTTTCGCGCTTGTTTATTTTCGGAATATTTTTCTTCTGGAAATCGATGGGTTGAAATTTCCCAACGATGTTTTCTCCATCATAAAAATAGAAAAGCATGTCGTTCAGCAAAGACGATCGGTCCGTTGTTTTTGCATATATATCGGGAGCAAAAGTGAAATGTTCTGCCCCGGTGTGCAACAATAATAACAGCTGCATGTACAGGATATAGCATATACCATCTACTCGTATGTATATACACTTGCTTGACAGATGCCACATATATACGAGAGATACTGCAGAATTGAATTTGTTCCCAGTAGGCAAAAGCCCTGTACAGTATATAGAGTACAAAAACTGGGATGAAGGATGGAGAAAATCCTCCCACAGAGACACACACACATACAATTCTATGTGTCATGGAGGCTTGAGATAAAGCCTGGTCGCGGCCTTGGGGGAGGGATACAGTATATATATATATACAGACCTGTGGGAATTCCCAGCGTGGGTTCTTCTTGCGGGGATCTGTCACCGGAGTACAGTGCGAAGGAAGGCATCCACCTATGTTGGTTACCCGAGTCGTGCAGATGGGAGCTGTGACGAGAGAAAGAATGCGATGGCCGAGATCATTTATTGTTGCCCAGCAAGATAAATGTTTGATGCATTATTTTGATTGATAATACGCGAGATGACGAATTATCCGTTTTAGAGATGCAATATATTTTTCAAAGGCCCTTGCATCATGCACACAGTGCTTTAAAAGTCTCATATGATGGCGGATTTCTACGGTTTCTTGGCATAAATACATTTTTTTGTGGTTTATGCGATATTTCCCTTGAAATCCTGAAAATGTATGAATTTTTATCCTATTTTCTCTGTACAGTATTCCTGCCTTTGAAGAGACCAATAAATTCTGAATCAAAATACACAGCCAACAGCAGTGCTAAAAAGTACTGTATTGCTATAGAAGGAGAATTACAGGTCACTGTTTGAAAATGTAGTTTACTTACGAATTTAGTTTACTCAGCAGAATTTTTTGTACTTGCCAAATTTTGGAAACCTTTATTTTTTATGGCCTTCTGATGAACAGTACACAGAAAAAGTTTCACTTATCAAAGTAAGATTTGAAGAAATTATTACAGTATCTACTTCCAAGAAAAATCCAAAATTTGTAATTCAATCTCTTTGTGCAAAAAATTTTTTTTAGAGTCCATGCAAGTTTGCTTTAAAATTAATTGAGACTTTTTTTCAGAAATTCGATATTTATTTTTGAAAAACCAAAGTTTGTTTGCAAAATAATAGAAGGAAAACTTTCATATAATACGACCAGAAGAAATAAAGTCTTTCGAGTACAAATTAATTATTCTCCTGAAGCAATATTTGATCCATTTATCGAGTCAATAATGCTACTGTTTTTTGTTGAAAATTGAGCTAAATTCCGGAATTACAATGCAGTAACGTAATGAAGTGATTGTAATAAAAAATTTGGAGAAACCCCGAAATATGCGATTTGTTTTGTTTTTGATATCTTGCTCCAAAAGAATGCGGCATAGGGACCATCAACCAGTTTCATAACAACGTTTCCTTCACTTGATCAAGGTATTCATTTCTGCAAACCAAAGCGTAATATGCGAAAAAATACATTAAAAATTATCCCGACAGAAGTGATGAAGTTTCTCCGGTGTTTTTTTGTTTGTTTTTTGAAAAGCAATATTGGCTCCATTTATCGTTTTTCTCTATACCGAGCAAACATTTTGAACAACATTATTTTTACTTCTTATCACTTTTTCTGCGAAAAAACCAAAGATTAAATGAGGAAGTCCAATAATAAGCTACAGTATACTCGTACTTGTTCTCGTAATTATAAATGTGCAGAGAAGTAAAAAAATAAAAATAAAGTTGGTGTATGAATCATGAATCCGGAAAGTTTGTTATAAGTCACTGCAATTTTTTCGTTTATTTTAATTACCGGTACATTTTTCTGCAGAAAATCAGATAAAGCGTTATTCTTTAAATAGCTAAAGTTGAGCAAGGGTAATGAAAGCTTGCTATGCTGTATCAAGATTTCAAGCTCTATTTCTTTGGCGTCTCTGTCGACCAGTACCTGTAAAAAATAAAAAAAAGAAGTCCCTTGATGCAAAAATATATATATTTGTAGCGAAATTCAACTTCAATAATATACAGTACACGCCCTCCACAAGAAAATAAAAAAGAAGAAATAATGAAGAGATTCCGAGCGTTCAACCGAAAACCGGCCGTTTCCTCATGCGACAACCTCAGTGTCGCCCACCAGTCCGGAAAATGTCGCAGCCACGGCTTGCATGGAGGACATGGATGGATGGTTCCTGCTGGATTTTCCAAGACCCCAGGAGGGCTGCATGACTGTGCACAGCATGCTGTGCTGCTGCAGCCTGTGCTTGTCCCATATTCCCTTTCTATATACATCCCTCTCCTTACATTTCACCCTCCCTCTCTCTCTCATAAAATATATATATTACACTTTACTACATATGTATATATATATTACACTTTACTACATATGTATATATATATTACACTTTACTACATATGTATATATATATATATATAGTGAGACCCCCAGATGCGGACATAATTGGTGCATCAAGAGTGTCCCTAAGTTGAGTATTGTTTTCCCAAAGACTTACATAATATAATTTTTAATTGATGTTCCATAGAAGAAATATTCTTCAAAATATTCAAAATTCCATTAAAAAAATTTTTTTTGCCCCTTGAATTTTATTCAGTGAATATATATATAAAAAAATATATATATATATATACAGTGAGACCCCAAGATGCAGACATAATTGGTGCATTGAGAGTGTCCCTAAGTTGAGTCTTGTTTTCCCTTAGACTTACATTATATAATTTATAATTGGTATTCTATGGAAGAAATATTCTTCAGAATTCCCTAAAAAAAATTGTTTGCCACTTGAATTTGAGTTAGTGAATACATCTTAAACTCATTAAGAACATTTGGAGCATTGAATAGTGTATCTTTGTACTGTAGATTGAAATGTTGGCATCTAAAAAAATAACAAGCAGTAAAAGTGAAAAAAGTAGAAGTCCCTCTATGCTGGAGGTAATTTTTTAAAATTAGCCAAATGGATGGTAAATTGGTGAGAGAAATGCCCAAGAACTTATCTTACATCAATTTTAGGGTTGGAAATGTCTGTTTCTTGTAATTTTGCCTGAAATGCATTTGCAATTTTATCACAAAATGTCCCTATGTTGAGTCAGTGTCCCTATGTCAAATTGTCTGCAGCTTGATGTGTCCGCATGTGGGGGTCTCACTATATATATATATATATGTGTGTGTGTGTGTGTGTGTGTGTGTGTACACGAGGGTTGGTTCATAAGGCACTGCTGTATATATATATATATATATATATACACAAGGATTGGTTCATAAGTTTTGAGATTTCTTGATATACAGTATATATACTGTCAACCCCCATCTAACAGACTGACCACAATTTTTTTTTAGAATTGTTGAAACTCGCTTAATGAATCAGTTCAAACAATCTCGACACTTATGAACCAACCCTCGTATATAAGTCTTCAGGAAAATATCCTGAATACCGTTCTTGGCTCAAGAACAACAGACAAAAATAGTAATAATGGAGAAAACTCGTGCTATGCGCGCCCCCTGCTGACGATGATATGACATAAAGAAAGCAAGAATTGACTCGCGAGTACATCCGCGGTAAATGAGTGCCGCTCCGGTGGATGAGAAAGCTCAAGAGCAAACATATACTCTGTGGATGACTGATGCCTCGGCGGAATATTCCTTCGTAATATTTCAACGTGTGGAACGAAAGGGGTATTAAGGGAAATAAAAAAAGAAGAGGCAATGTCTATGTCTGCAGCTATTTTGCTGTGGGTTTCATGTCGAGTTTCCCCGGGGTACAGCGTTTCTGGAATTTCTCCTGGGGTAGCAGAAACGTACGAAAGGGGTTACACGTTTCCGCGCGGACTTGATATGATTATATGAACACCGTACCGCAGAGGTTTTCTAAAACTTTTTTCTCATGTTCACTATAGTTTCAAGAGGCCAGGCAGACCGCATTCTCAATTTCATCGCCGCCAAATTTTCACACACTTCTGAGCCCTTCTGATCCATGTGTTGAAACGTTCATTTGTTAAATTTTGAAGCTTTTCCATGAACAACACGCTGATCCGCGCGGAACCATGTAACCCCTCGTATATATGCAAAGCACTGAGTGTACGTGCAGAGAGAGGGAGGAAATTATAAACAGTAATGTCTGCTATTTTGCTGCGTTTATGTCAAGTTTTCCGAACGAGGTATACAGGGTTTCTGAAATTTGGGAAACAAAATCATACATAGCACGTATGCATGCAGAAAAAGAGGGGGCGGGAAATAATATTGCAATGTTTTCGATTTTTCGCATTAATGTCAAGTTTTCCGGAGCACATCGTTTAGGAAATTTGGGGAGCAGAATCATATACAAGAAGTGTGTATATTTGAGCGCTGAAATTTCGTTAATGTCAAAAATTATTAGGCCTATAGAATTGGAGGAATAATTCCGCTTGCTTTTGTCGTTATTACACTTCACAGTAATACTTGGAAAATTAAATCCGAAGTTTAAACTTACTCAATTTTGCTGACTATTTTTACAGAGATTTCTTTTGTGAATAAAATGTGCATTCTCAGTTAAATTTTGTTGCAGTTTTCGAATTATTTTTTTTACAGGGGTTTTCATAATTTCTTGCGTGTTTCAAAGACTTGTGAAAAATTTGTTCACAATTTTACGGAAATCCCACACACCCTATATGACCAAGAAGAGAGAGACAGTTCTTTTTCTTTCCTGACAGCAGCACAGAACGCAGCTTTACTGTCCCAATTCCGCGTGCCCTTCTAACATTTTTTCCAAAAACGAAATGGATATGCTATTCTCTTCGGCACCTTTTTGTCATACAAAAAAGGCGTGATCACTGTGAAGAACGATTTGGTGACAGAATGCAGCTTTACTGTCCCAGTTCCGCGCGCCTTCTTGAGGCTATATAGAAAAGCAATTCTGCTTCCATTCTCTTCGGCACCTTCTTGTCAAACAAAACCAAAAAAGTGCGTGTTGAAAGTGCTTCGCGGAGAGCAAAATGGAGCGAGGAAAGTTTTTTGTCATCTTTTCAGGGAATACGGATGCTGGACCAGGGCAGCAGTTGAATTTGAGCCTTAAAAACCTTCCATCATCAGACGTCCTCTTGTTTATACCTGCTCAAAAACAAACGAAAAAAAAAGTGGCAAAAAAGTATCAGCGGCTGTATTCCCTGCGAAAATGTACGGTAGTGCATACACGAAACACTTTTTTTTGTTTCTGTTCTTGTGGCTTTTTACCTTGTGTACAGTACATGTATAAGAGCATGGAGAATGTTATACTGTAAGAAATAAAAAGAGAGAGCTGCGTTATGATTTGAAAGGGAGTAAGATGCTTAATAACCAAGGGTTTTCAGTCAATTTTTCTCATTCATAAACTTATATCCCCAAGTAAGATGCACACCCCATTTTTAGCGAGAGGCTGTATATATAGAACTTCAATATTTCACACCCAAATTCTTATTTATACGTTAATTAATCCTAAATTAAATTTCTTGTCTATTATTTCCTTTAAAATACTTTTTTTTTAAGTAATGGTTCCGAAATTCCCATTAGATTAGACGTCCCCTAATTTAGACGTAAATTGATCCTGAATTAAATTACTTCTTTATTATTTCCTTTGAAATACGGTTTTCTTTATAAAAATAAAATTCCCATTATAGAATTCATTGCAATGCGCACCTCAACTTCTAAAATATATTTTTTTTATTTATACGTACCCATCAGTAAATATAGGACCTGCAACTCTTGTTTTTTCTTTTCAATTTTGAGAAAAAGGGCGGTAGTGTATTTGATTATAGTATATACGGTATATATATATATATATAGGGACAGAAAATGTACAGTATATATATATATATGCATATATACGGATTTGTTCTGGCCTCTTTTTTTGTTTTTGTTCTGCTTCTCGATTTTCATTGGTGTCTGGTCCCTCCTCCTCCTCCTCCTTTTTGCAGGGGAATACAGCTGCTTGAGGGTGGATTTGAGGTTCAAGCGCGAATTCAGCTACTACCTGATCCAGATCTACATTCCTTGCTGCATGCTGGTCATCGTGTCCTGGGTCAGCTTCTGGCTGGACCAGAACGCCATCCCGGCCCGCGTGTCCCTCGGAGTGACGACCCTGCTCACGATGGCCACGCAGACGTCGGGCATCAACGCCTCCCTGCCGCCGGTGTCCTACACCAAGGCCATCGACGTGTGGACCGGCGTGTGTCTCACGTTCGTGTTCGGGGCCCTGCTCGAGTTCGCGTTGGTCAATTACGCGAGTCGGTCAGACATGCACAGGGAGAATATGAAGAAGCAGCAGCGGCGGCAGTGGGAGCTGGAGCAGGCAGCGCTGGAGGCGGCGGCGGCGTCGCAGGACCACCTCGAGGACGGCGCCACGTTCCCCATGGTGAGCCATGCTTCCCTTTTCCTTTCTCTATACAGTATGTAGATTTGTTTTGTTTTTTCTTTTCGTTTTGGGGTCGAACGACTCCGACTCGAAAAATAAATCGTCAAGATCATCTTGCTTGGACTTGGAGTGGAAAGAAAAATAACAGTTGCCATGATTAATTTAATTTTCTAGCGTATTCACAAATCCAGCACAATCCTAACGCTGAAAAAAATGGGATGCGAAGGTCTGAGTAACGAGGACTATTTTTGGACTGTCTGCAATGCATTACACACACACACGTGGATTTTTGAGCCCTAGAATTAGGATGAAAGACGCCACAAACAATTTTTTTGTGACTGGAAAATTGCATTACAGGTGGTCTCCGTCTCATGCGTACAACTACAAGGAATTTATTGTCAACTACCACAACTTGTCCACAACGAATTTATCTGAATAACGAATTTTTTGAGACCCTCAATAAGTTCCGTTATAGAGAGAGAGAGAGAGAGTTCACATGTTTTTGTAAATAGCACTCATCCGAATATGAATTTTGGCATGAATTGTCTCTAAATGCAATCAATTGTTTGCTTTTGTTTTTTCCCTTTTTCCCGTGAAATGGAGTCCAAAATTGTGCATTAGATTCGAGTATCATGGGCACCTATACTTTCAAAATTGTGATAAATGTTCATGTTGACGCAAGTAATTTTTTACTTTCAAAAATTTTGAAAAAATTGTATACCCGTGTTTGACGGATATCCTCCTTTTTTTCCGTTCCGTTTTGGAGAAGAATGGACGGAAGTATATGAGGGAAATCATGTTTTGCTCAAGAAAACTCATTCTTGCATGGATTTTTTTTTTTCATGTGGGGGGCCCAATTTTTTTTAAAATTATGAATACAGTTCTGGCGCCTTTGCGATACAAAATTCCAGAGAAATGAAAGAAACAAACCCTTTAGTGAAATTTTTTCGAACGAAATAAAAATAAATAATATCACCAATGATGCCGAAAATATTATAATGAAGTTACATAATGTTCTTGGTGAGAATCAAGAAAATGAGAACCAGTTTTGCGTGTGGAGAAAAATCCGCAAATTCGAATAAAAGAGTTTCTCGTCATTTTCCGCGAAGTATTTATGTTAAAGGGGTTGGGGGGGTTTCTCGGGAAATCTCAACTTCAGCGGCATTTGAGAAAATATACCTTTTCTCCACTGGGATCCTTGAAGGATCCCAAGCACTTTTCTGTTTCTTCCTTCTTCGGCTTCTATGGTGCTCGAGGAAACGACGTTGTGTGTGCGGAAGATAAGAAGTTTTAATCTAAATCGAATCCGTTGAACTGCTCGAAATTGAAACTAAATCCCTAAAAAAAAAAAAGGCCGTGAAAAAGGTTTTCAAAAAATAATGATAAGTAACTCAGAGCAACCACTGCTGGTAAATCTCTTCCGCCTCATTTTCAATGACGTCGTTTCCGGAAATTTTAGTAAACGCGTGTAATTTATACTAGTGTACTGTACATTATTCTTTTAAAAATTTAGCCATTATATACGCGAAGATAGTTTAGAGAGAAAAAATGCTGTGTCACGCATGAAGCATTCCTTGACAAAGTACATGTATTTTATCAGCTGATGCCTGTCAAAGCTCCCTTTTGTGAACAATCTCGAGAAATCTTTCTGCGTTATTATACGAAAGCAGCGTCTGCTGTTCGCTCCATTACCTTCTTTTATCCCCTACTGAATTGGAAAAGGTAATCGTTGTTTTCCAGCTTGTCAAGTATATAGTATGTTGTTCGAAACAGACCCCTTTTTTCCTCGGATTATAAACAGGGTTGTCTCGAAACGCCGATTTTTTTTCTCTTGCATTTTAGCAGTTGGAAAAAATCAGAGTAAACGAACAAAAAAAATAGTCGGATTTTTAAACAGTATTGTTTAGGACTTTCGCTGAGTTGATTTTCACGTGAAGTTTAATTTTTTCAGTTTCTTCCAGCACAGGAAAGGTCGGTCAATATTCAATTCTAAAGTCGGATGGATGATCAAATTTCGGCAGTATTAATTTTTCTATTTCTTCTCGATGAATGTGGCATTTTTTATGCGGTGGCACTAATTTTAAAAAAAGCCGTACCGAGTTGACAAAAGTGAAAAGATCATATTTAATGAAATTTGAAGAATTTTTCTAAAATCGAAGGATCATGATTTGCAATTTTTTTTACAGTTTGAACAAGAGAAGTGTGTTGGAATCGGTGAAGAATTCCTGCAATGCACGTTTCAATTCAAAATATATGTTTCAGTATGATGGCGTTTCATTCGCATTTATTTATTTTTTTTTCAATTTAAGGTGATTGAATTACCTTTCGATTGATGTGGCATTACTTTTCTCTTTTGATGCCAGTTATTGAGCCTATAAAGCCATACAACGTTGACAAAATTGAACATTCAATTTAATGATAATTTAATTCAACTTTTCTGGAGCTTTTACAGGTGAACTTCGATAACTCGAACCTCCCCAAGTCAAATACTCCTTAAAGTCGAATTTTTTTCAGGTCCCCATCTGAACCCCCTTTAGAAGGAATAGATTAAAAACCTCCCTAAAATGAAAGCTTTTTCCCTCAAACCTCCAGCATAAAATCGAATTTTCTGTGGCCTATTGGCCATTATTTTCTTGAAAAAAGAAAGAGAAAAAACTATAAAAACAGAAATTTATGTGTTTTAAAGGAAGTAAAAGACTTAATTGGGCAAATGAACCCCTGCCTCCAAGTTCAGCAGCCTTTTAACTCATTTAAGAAGCCAGTTAAGCCCGAGAATATCACCATTTATCTTTTTTCTAAGTTTCTCAGAAAAAAGGGGTTTGTATTGTAGTTCCAACCTCTTTCAAAACCTCTCTATAGGTTCGACTGTACAGTGTATAATTTAAAAATGTTTCAATTTTTCTGTCTTTCGCCCTGTATATTTTCCTTGTCAGCACATACCATACGACAGATGACTTGTATGTTTCAAATCGCTGCCCATTTCGCGAGTATATAGCTGCACTTTTTCTCTTGTTCTTCATGGAAGAAGGGCATATATTATTTATACTGTATTGTAAAATAAGTGGGTAACAGAGTGCTGCAATGAGCCGGAAGAAAAGGGGTAAATTGGATTCGACCCGATTCCGTCTGGATTGGATTGCCTTTCCAGCTCATTTGAAGTTGATGCCTGATCCATCAGTAACTGCTCTGACGCTCATCAAGGCGCAGCTGCAAGTGATGGAGTTTCCTGGATATTATTCCATTTGCCTGAATAATATAAGGGCCTGTGTAAAAAAATGTGTAAACTCAAACTGTGTAAAAAAAATTGCAATTCATGATCCTTCGATTTTCGAAAAATTCTTTAAATTTCATTAAATATAACCTTTTTACTTTTGCCAATTCCGTACGGCTTTTGTGACAATTATTGCGACTGCATAAAAAAATGTCACGTTAATCGAGAAGAAATAAAAAAATTGATACTGCCGAAATTTTATCATCCATCCGGGGGTTAATCTCTCGGGTTTCAGTTTCAGGATTAGTATGAATAGTTTGAAATGCAGGTAAATTTGTATGCAATATTAGTGAATTGCATTTTTGAAAAGTCACATATTAAAAAACTCTTAAAAGGCAGAAACGCCATGGAAAGTGTTGGGCTAAAATTGTCGTTGTAACGAGTTCATCCAGATTCACTGAGATTTTCTGTGGTTTTTTCTTTATGTTTCTGTATTTAGTCCAGCTTATGCATTGATTCATTTTACAGTTGAACCTTGCTATAAGTCGAACCACCCTAAGTCAAATAATTTACCTTCCTAACTCTATTTTTTTTACAGGTCCCTGTCTGGATTCCCTTAGAAATAATGCATTAAAAACCTCCCTAACTCAAAGTATTTTTCTGTCAAACCTCTGCAAATCAAATTTTCTGATACCTTTTGGTTATTATTACCTTAAAATATGAAAGAGGAAATCAATAAAAGAAATAATTTTATGCATCTTGAAATTAAGTGAAAGACTAATTGAACAAATGAACCCCAGCCTCCAAATCCAGCAAGCTGTAAAGGCATTAAGAAGCAAGTTTATGCCCAGAATATCCTCCTCTACAATTTCCCACCATTTTTTTTTTACTTTTTCTCACAGGAAAAGTGTGCTTTAATAATTCGCTGTATTTTTATGATTTCTGAAAATTTGAACTCAAACAATTTATTCAATGAAGGAATTGGACTCAGAGTAACTGATACAGATTAGAACTTCTTACTATTGGAACTTGATGGTCGATATTTTGATTGTTTGAAATCAAAAACGTTTGAGAGGGGAACACCTAATCTAGATTTATTATTTCTGTATAGTACGTGTCTCAGTTTCATCTGAAGCCAAAATCGGTGACAGTCCGAATCCTTTTTTTTTTAACTATCTCCATCACTCGAGGCGTTTGTTATCCGGGGTCATCGGTGCCACAAATATGGTATTCCTTGATGCAGTAATGCTCAGAAATTTCTGAAGAACTCGAAAGGCGTTTTTTTCTTGAATAATTTAGTTGCATTATTCTATAATATTCTTCAGAGCAAGTAACAAATCTGAAGAAGGAAAGGTTTATCGGGTGTCGATACGCTAAGCATTCTAATCTCTCACCCTCACTATATGTACATGCGCATTTTTCCGACATGGACGCTGAGATTTATATAGAATACTGTATATTTTTTTTCTTATTCTTTACATGTACTTTCTTATCCTGAGTCTTACGTACTGACGTCACATAGGTCGTTGTTCGGTCGTTTCGGGGCCCCTTTTGTGCCCCCCCCCCCCCGGAAATGTGTCCGGATACTGTGATATTGGGTGTGATTTATTGAGCCTATATACTTGGGTTAATTTAGTTCCTCAAAATTTGTTGTCAAGATTTTTCAGCATTGTTTCTTCTCGATCTTTCAGAAAAAATATCTTTCTCCCGTGCCTCATCTAAAAAATTTAGTTCCTCAAAATTTGTTGTCAAGATTTTTTCCAGCATTGTTTCTTCTCGATCTTTCAGAAAAAAATATCTTTCTCCCGTGCATCATCTAAAAAAATGGGTCTCAATTCTTGAGATTAATTTGATTTTTTCCAATTTTTCCGTGACGAACTTTTCGAGGATCCCTCTACTTTTTTGCGTGAGAATCGAAATTTCACGTGTAGATAATAATTGTTAATTTTTTCTTGGCCCATAGGTACCCATTTTTTAGGGATTCTCTACGATGAAAATGTTCTGGTCCCTTGAATTTCTTTATATATATATATATATATATATATATATATATATATATATACTGTATATAGAAAAAGAGAGAGAGAGAGAAAGTTCACCTTTATAGTAAAGCGCGATACTGTGAATAGGTGGATTATTCTCCCCATAACGAAATTCAAAGGAGCGGAAAAAATGCGTCGTTGTAGAGGACCCCTATAAAATTAGACAACAAAAACAAAAAAATGGTTTATGGAGGTACAAGTGTTCCCTCAACCCGTTGTATGCGGACCGGAAGTTTTTAGCCGGTCCGCGGGAAATTTTCAGCATGATAAATTCATCAAAAGTCACAATAAATTTGATTATCTTCACCTAAATTTTTGGAAGGACAATGAGAGTTGAAAACATTTGGTGAGAATGAAAGTTGACTCATCTTCTCCTAATAGCAATTTCAGACAGATTTTCACCTGCTGAAGTAAATTATTTCAAATTTTGCATTCTGAGAAATTTTTCTTCAAACCCACTGGCATTCAGCAGCTATAGCTGCTTCATTTGTGCTTAACTCAAATTTTGGGAATGGTAGCAACTTTTAGATACCTACCATAAAGTCCTCCAAACAAAACATTTATTTAAAAAGAATCAAGTTAAGAACCATATTAAAGCAGTTATATTAGTGAAGGGTCTTCAAAAAATTATAATGCTGGGCTTCAAGAGATGGTTTCCCAGAAGGAAAAACTCGAAATAATTCATTTCTGCAGGTGTGAGGTATTATTGAGTGTTATTGAGGGAAAAGCCAACTTTGAATTAAATCAGATAATGTCAACTGCCATTGTAACGATAGCAGATGTCATTGCAAATTCTGATGCATTTATTATGCTGAAAATCTCCCGCAGACCAGCAAAAAAAGTCTGCGGACCGACACTATAGTCAGCGGGCCAAAGGTTGGGGAACACTACTAACTTTAACCCTTCTGCGGCAAAGTTGGACTTTTTTCACAGATTTTTGGTGCACTCAAGAATGGCATTTAAAAAAACAATGACAGTGTGTGCAGGGCAAAGTCTGAAAAAATCCTGGCATTTTTTTTTAATTTCCCACAGAAAAATTTCACTTGGAAATGAAAAAAAATGAAATCTTCAAGGCTCCCTTTTTTTTACCCTGGCCTTTTTTTGTTCCCTCATTCAAAGATTAAATTCAAGATTGAAAGCCAGAAGCCCAGGTTAGAGGTCAATACCAAAGGAAATAGTCCAACTTGAGACTTTCCCAGCATTTCTTTATTCCCAGATAAAATCCAACTTTGCCAAGTAAATAATAAAAAGTAATAAAATCCTCCACTGGGCCACAACTGGTACATTGAGCACAAGTACAAGATTACCAGTGGTCCTTTATTCACCATTCAACCAGCTTTAATCATAAGATTTTTTCATCCCTGCATAATTTGTAGCATGATCAACAATTGCACCTGGGCACCCCCTCTTCCACACTGTAATTTCTGTAATAAATCAAAGTTTTCCAAACTAAAGTTTGTCCAATGCCCAGGCCTGGCAGGGGTTGCATTAACTCATGCAAAAATGCTATGCAGGCCCAAGGGGGAAAAGTCCAACTTTGCCCTGGGATGGAAATAAGGAGGCTGCCACCGTCCCAGGGGTAAAGATAAATTCTTTGTTGACCAGTTCATTGTAGAGAGAGTCCACCAACTGTAAAAAAAAAATAATATCAGGTGAACCTCTCTAAGTCGAATTTCTAGGGACCAAGAAAAAAATTAAACTTAGGGAGGTTTTGACTTGAGGATGTTTTGCTTTTTTTAGGAAAGGAAAAAAATATGTTTGCTGCAAGGAAAATGGGAAAGTAGATGAGGACATTCCAGGCCTAAACTTGCTTCTTAATGAGTTTACAGCTTGGTTCATTTGTTCAATTAGTCCTTCACTTGATTTCAAAATGCATAAAATAATTTGTTTTGTTGATTTTCTCAATCATGTTTCAAGGAAATAATGACCTAAAGGCCTCAGAAAATTCGACTTACAGAGGTTTGAGAGAAAACTACTTCGAGTTAGGAAGGTTTTTAATACATTGTTTCTATGGGAATCCGACTAGAAAAAATTCGAGTTAGGGAGGTCTTCGACTTAGCGAGGTTCACCTAATGACTAACATGTTTGAAGAAAGCGGTGCTTGTATACCTGTCGGTCCGGGCTTTGTTCCAGAAGCCGTTGATGAGACACCCGTCTGGCCACCACCATCACCACCACCACCACCCGCACAACAACGACCCGCTGGGCCTGGAGAAGGCGCGCCAGTGCGAGATCCACATGACGCCGCAAACGGCACAGGCGACCTGCAAGTCCTGGCTCTCCAAGTTCCCGACGCGCAGCAAACGCATAGATGTCGTCTCTCGCATCACGTTCCCGCTCGTCTTTGCCCTCTTCAACCTCGTCTACTGGTCCACTTACCTCTTCCAGGAAGAAGAAAAGGACTGAAGTCCNAGAGAGAGAGAAAGTTCACCTTTATAGTAAAGCGCGATACTGTGAATAGGTGGATTATTCTCCCCATAACGAAATTCAAAGGAGCGGAAAAAATGCGTCGTTGTAGAGGACCCCTATAAAATTAGACAACAAAAACAAACAAAAAATGGTTTATGGAGGTACAAGTGTTCCCCCAACCCGTTGTATGCGGACCGGAAGTTTTTAGCCGGTCCGCGGGAAATTTTCAGCATGATAAATTCATCAAAAGTCACAATACATTTGATTATCTTTACCTAAAATTTTGGAAGGACAATGAGAGTTGAAATTATTTGGTGAGAATGAAAGTTGACTCATCTTCTCCTAATAGCAATTTCAGACAGATTTTCACCTGCTGAAGTAAATTATTTCAAATTTTTCATTCTGAGAAATTTTTCTTCAAACCCACTGGCATTCAGCAGCTATATAGATGTTTCATTGCTGGTGCTTAACTCAATTTTTGGGAATAGTAGGAACTTTTAAATACCTGCCATAAAGTCCTCCAAACAAAACATTTATTTAAAAAGAATCAAGTTAAGAACCATATTAAAGCAGGTATATTAGTGAAGGATTTTCAAAATATTATAATGCTTGGCGTCAAAAAATGGTTTCCCAGTAGGAAAACTCGAAATAATTCATTTCTGCAGGTGTGAGGTATTATTGAGTGTTATTGAGGGAAAAGCCAACTTTGAAGTAAATCAGATAATTTCAACTGCCATTGTAACAATAACAGATGTCATTAAAAATTCTGATGCATTTATTATGCTGAAAATCTCCCGCAGACCAGCAAAAAAAGTCTGCGGACCGACACTATAGTCAGCAGGCCAAAGGTTGGGGAACACTACTAACTTTAACCCTTCTGCGGCAAAGTTGGACTTTTTTCACAGATTTTTGGTGCACTCAAGAATGGCATTTTTAAAAAACAATGACAGTGTGTGCAGGGCAAAGTCTTGAAACATCCTGGCTTTTTTTTAAATTCCCCACAGAAAAATTTTGCTTGGAAATGAAAAAAATGTAATCTTCAAGGCTCCCTTTTTTTACCCTGGCCTTTTTTTGTTCCCTCATTCAAAGATTAAATTCAAGATTGAAAGCCAGAAGCCCAGGTTAGAGGTCAATACCAAAGGAAATAGTCCAATTTGAGACTTTCCCAGCATTTCTTTATTCCCAGATAAAATCCTACTTTGCCAAGTAAATAATAAAAAGTAATAAAATCCCCCAATGGGCCACAACTGGTACATTGAGCACAAGTACAAGATTACCGCAGTGGTCCTTTATTCACCATTCAACCAGCTTTAATCAAAAGATTTTTTCATCCCTGCATAATTTGTATCATGATCAAGAATTGCACCTGGGCACCCCCTCTTCCACACTGTAATTTCTGTAATAAATCAAAGTTTTCCAAACTAAAGTTTGTCCAATGCCCAGGCCTGGCAGGGGTTGCATTAACTCATGCAAAAATGCTATGCAGGCCCAAGGGGGAAAAGTCCAACTTTGCCCTGGGATGGAAATAAGGAGGCTGCCACCGTCCCAGGGGTAAAGATAAATTCTTTTTTGACCAGTTCGTTGTAGAGAGAGTCCACCAACTGTAAAATAATAATAATATCAGGTGAACCTCTCTAAGTCGAATTTCTAGGGACCAAGAAAAAAATTAAACTTAGGGAGGTTTTGACTTGAGGATGTTTTGCTTTTTTTAGGAAAGGAAAAAAATATGTTTGCTGCAAGGAAAATGGGAAAGTAGATGAGGACATTCCAGGCCTAAACTTGCTTCTTAATGAGTTTACAGCTTGGTTCATTTGTTCAATTAGTCCTTCACTTGATTTCAAAATGCATAAAATAATTTGTTTTGTTGATTTTCTCAATCATGTTTCAAGGAAATAATGACCTAAAGGCCTCAGAAAATTCGACTTACAGAGGTTTGAGAGAAAACTACTTCGAGTTAGGAAGGTTTTTAATACATTGTTTCTATGGGAATCCGACTAGAAAAAATTCGAGTTAGGGAGGTCTTCGACTTAGCGAGGTTCACCTAATGACTAACATGTTTGAAGAAAGCGGTGCTTGTATACCTGTCGGTCCGGGCTTTGTTCCAGAAGCCGTTGATGAGACACCCGTCTGGCCACCACCATCACCACCACCACCACCCGCACAACAACGACCCGCTGGGCCTGGAGAAGGCGCGCCAGTGCGAGATCCACATGACGCCGCAAACGGCACAGGCGACCTGCAAGTCCTGGCTCTCCAAGTTCCCGACGCGCAGCAAACGCATAGATGTCGTCTCTCGCATCACGTTCCCGCTCGTCTTTGCCCTCTTCAACCTCGTCTACTGGTCCACTTACCTCTTCCAGGAAGAAGAAAAGGACTGAAGTCCTGCAAGTATAGAGGAAGAAGAATATACGCGGGAAGGAGAAGAAGAAGAAGAAGAAACAAAATGTTATCCACTCTTTTCTCGACCCCTTTATTCTCAGACGACACGCGTACGAATTATTCTCCGGCCTATTTTCTTGACATTATTTCTTTCTCTCCTTTTGTTCCTCATGTATGTTATTTGTAAATCATTGTTGATGGTTATATTCCCGTGCGCGCGTTATTGGCATTTCTTTATTTTCGCATCAATTCTTGCCTGCCGATGATGACGGCGATGAGAAACGCTTTTGGTTTTTGCAGACAAAAGAACGAAGAACAAGAATGAAACGGGATAATATTGGACATATACTCGCTCAAAATCACCCCCAATGCAACGTACTTCGCTGTACTGTCTTACTGCTTTTATCACGCAGTCATCGTCACACTGAAGAAAAAAAATTCTGACGAAGAGGTTTCGACGAGGAACAACTGTTTTCTGAAGTGCATGTAATTTTTTTTCTTGAACACGATGCCATTACGGAAAAGAAACATCCGAATACACTTCTAAAATAGTGAATGCGCATCAATAAAAGTAAAACCTTTTCTTTATTATGCAGTAAAATATTCCATCAGGGTGGAATGCTCAAACGTCCGCGACAATAAGCGTAAAATCGAGAGAGCGAGAAAAATAAACTTCAATTGGGAAGATGTGCTAAATGCATGAAAATAACGATTGTCAAATAATATTAAAGCTGAATACTGTATCTGAAAACTACGGGTGAAATTTTAATATTCAGAATCTGGAAGAAACAGAAAAAAATAATTGTTAATTGTCCTAATTATATTCTCAACATCTTCGTTACTTCATCCCGCATTCGATCATTTTCTGAAGACATGCTTCAAATCCTTGAAGTGGATGAAGAAAGAGGCTTATTATTTTTTATATAACGTGTCGAAAACTCAGGACTTTCTCTTAATTATCTCCCTTAATAAACGTCTCCCTGCCGAACCATGTTTGTTTGCCATTTCATAATAACCGAGGATAATTTGCGAGAGTGGGACGGTAGTACTTTTAATTTCATTTTTGTCGTCCTCGGGAGATATTCCCGTAATTATTAACATTTTCAGAACAATTATCCGAAAATCTGCCGGGATTTCGCCCTTATTCCACAAACTGAACGTTTCAAGAGTTTCTGAAATATCTGCGCAAATACATTACATTTTTTTTCTAGATTGCAGCATGAAATAATAAGCCAGACTTCCCGAACTGGTTTCGAAAAGTTGAAACCCGACTATGAAATCCATGTTCGTTTTTCCCCGAAGTTAATTTCGGGTGAAGGTTATATTCCTCTTGTCCGAATATTGGAACTTTCCTGAGAAAGGCTGTTACTGAAACAACCATCACAGATACACACACACGCAAAGAAAAGGAACAGAAATGATTGCTATGATGAGAACAACAATCCTTGATACGTCTATTACATCATTCCTCGTGGGCAAGGGGTTTAGGGGGATGGGGGTAAACAATTTTTTATCCATTCCTAATATAGGGTTGCTCATCTGATACCAATATAGAAAGAAGAAACAAAAACGGAATTCAGCTCCTTGCCCATCACTCATCACCTTGGCTGTTGATATATGCTTCAGATGCGACTCCCGATCTGCTCGAATCTCGTCAGTCCTATATAGCGGAGATTTATTTATGTAACTGAATATATCTCTAGATTTCAAAGTCCTCTTCTTTTCAAACGACGACTTAGATGCATTAGTCGCTTGATTCTCTTAGGAGAGAGAGAAACAGGGGGTTTGGTAAGATATAAGATGTGTGGGTTTAGCCAGTTGTATCCCTGCGAGCTGTTGAGAAAGAAAAAATATGACGAGAAATTGAAATGTTTAAGTGTGCGAACAATCAATTGCATGGCAAGCAGCAGGAAGACTGAAGCAAAATTGAAAAGAAAAGAAAAATGGGGGAGGGGGGAGGACAAAGAATGTCTATATATATGCTGGAAATTATTTTTGTATTCATTCTGCCAGAAGTGTCTGACGCGTTGTGTGTTTGTGTGTGAGAATCCAGGTGTCGCTTCTGTGTTCCATATATGATCCTTATATCTTGCATTATTATTGTTACCTGATTCAAGGGCCGCGGTGGGTTCCCCATTTCATTTATTCCCGGTGAATTTGATTTGTTGAGTAGATTTTTTCGTATATCGGGTTGAATCATTTTGAATAAGTGACAAAACTTCAGAAGCGGAGAAAGGCTTTTGATTTTGTAGTTGGATGACAGAAGGAAGGGNATGCATGAAAATAACGATTGTCAAATAATATTAAAGCTGAATACTGTATCTGAAAACTACGGGTGAAATTTTAATATTCAGAATCTGGAAGAAACAGAAAAAAATAATTGTTAATTGTCCTAATTATCTTCTCAACATCTTCGTTACTTCATCCCGCATTCGATCTTTTTCTGAAGACATGCTTCAAATCCTTGAAGTGGATGAAGAAAGAGGCTTATTATTTTTTATATAACGTGTCGAAAACTCAGGAGTTTCTCTTAATTATCTCCCTTAATAAACTTCTCCCTGCCGAACCATGTTTGTTTGCCATTTCCTAATAACCGAGGATAATTTGCGAGAGTGGGACGGTAGTATTTTTAATTTCATTTTTGTCGTCCTCGAAAGATATTCCCGTAATTATAAACATTTTCAGAACAATTATCCGAAAATCTGCCGGGATTTCGCCCTTATTCCACAAACTGAACGTTTCAAGAGTTTCTGAAATATCTGCGCAAATACATTACATTTTTTTTCTAGATTGCAGCATGAAATAATAAGCCAGACTTCCCGAACTGGTTTCGAAAAGATGAAATCCATGTTCGTTTTTCCCCAAAGTTAATTTCGGGTGAAGGTTATTCCTCTTGTCCGAATATTGGAACTTTCCGAGAAAGGCTGTTACTGAAACAACCATCACAGATACACACACACGCAAAGAAAAGGAACAGGAATGATTGCTATGATGAGAACAACAATCCTTGATACGTCTATTATACATCATTCCTCGTGGGCAAGGGGTTTATAGGGGGATGGGGGTAAACAATTTTTTATCAATTCCTAATATAGGGTTGCTCATCTGATACCAATATAGAAAGAAGAAACAAAATCGGAATTCAGCTCCTTGCCCATCACTCATCACCTTGGCTGTTGATATATGCTTCAGATGCGACTCCCGATCTGCTCGAATCTCGTCAGTCCTACATAGCGGAGATTTATTTATGTATCTGAATATATCTCTAGATTTCAAAGTCCTCTTCTTTTCAAACGACGACTTAGATGCATTAGTCGCTTATAAGAGAATCCTCTCTCTCTTTGTCCCCCAAACCATTCTATATTCTACACACCCAAATCGGTCAACATAGGGACGCTCGACAACTCTTTCTTTTTTATACTGCTCTTTAACTTTACAAATTCACACGGAACAATCAATTGCATGGCAAGCAGCAGGAAGACTGAAGCAAAATTGAAAAGAAAAGAAAAATGGGGGAGGGGGGAGGACAAAGAATGTCTATATATATGCTGGAAATTATTTTTGTATTCATTCTGCCAGAAGTGTCTGACGCGTTGTGTGTTTGTGTGTGAGAATCCAGGTGTCGCTTCTGTGTTCCATATATGATCCTTATATCTTGCATTATTATTGTTACCTGATTCAAGGGCCGCGGTGGGTTCCCCATTTCATTTATTCCCGGTGAATTTGATTTGTTGAGTAGATTTTTTCGTATATCGGGTTGAATCATTTTGAATAAGTGACAAAACTTCAGAAGCGGAGAAAGGCTTTTGATTTTGTAGTTGGATGACAGAAGGAAGGGTTTTGGCTGCACATGTGACAGATTCTAATTTGTTATTGTATATCGGGTTGAATCATTTTGAATAAGTGACAAAACTTCAGAAGCGGAGAAAGGCTTTTGATTTTGTAGTTGGATGACAGAAGGAAGGGTTTTGGCTGCACATGTGACAGATTCTAATTTGTTGGAGACATTTATTGTCAGATGATCGGATTAATTGTTGATTCAAAAGTATACTATTCTCCATTTGTTGCTCATGTTTACTGGACAATGACTCATTTTAGAGTTTCAGGCTATGATTCAACATGAAATTGTTCTGTCGATTTCATGTAATTTCATCCGAGCATGTGCCAATATGTGTTAGTTGCAAAAAATACCACTTATTGATGCTTGGACGTATAATACTGTATACAGTATACTGTACAATAAAATCCCATCAAAAGCAAAATTTTGGGGACTTGAAAATAAATTTGTATATACCGAAAAATTCGTTAAAAAAAGCTTTCACTGCACTGCAGTAAAATCTTTTTAAAATAGACAAAACCATTGAGTCCCAGAAAAAACAGGTACGAACAACTAATGTGACTGAAATATTGTGATATAATTAGCGTTTTGGCGTTACTGCGCAGAAGAATGACCTTCAACAAAATTGTATTGTAATTTAAAATTGTTCTATGCAAAAGGTTTCCGTTCAATATTCCCTAAAACATTTGGCAAAAACAGCTTTCGTAACTTGAATACCTTATCTTCCAGATGGTCTAATTTTGATGCTTGAAACTAAACTGTATTATAAGTGTCCTAACTTGAAATTCAGGATGGATCTTCTTCATTTCCCTAAATACCCGGATTGTTATTCACCACGACTATGCCAAAAAGCGTTTCTAAGCAGCCAAAATTTTTAATTTCTGTCATCATCATCATGTTTGTCTGATTTGAGAACGACTGTATGGAGTTGATTGAAATAACGGAAAATTTTCATGTGGAAAAAAAAGGAGTGAGTGCGAGAAGGAAAGCTTTGAATCTGCAGGATGAGAAAGCAAAAAGGTAACAATCTGTGTTTTGAACTTTGCAAACGAAGAAGAGAAAAAAAAGAAATTCGCCTTCTCATCTTCGGCGATGATTTCTATCTTCTCATTCTCGCGGTTGAACAGGTTCTTTCTCTTATGTTCTCCTGTCTTTCAAATAAAAAATTAATTATTATTGCGCTTCTCGAAAAGTAAAAGTCTTTTCAGTTGATGAGCCCGGGTGAAAATTTCAGACCCTCTCCAGCTCAAAAAATATAAACCCTACTTCATCATAAACTAACTGTATATGTACTGTATTCTGGGCTTCATTGGAATGAACATTTCCATTTCGAAGAGAGAAATACTCACGCAGTGATTGAAAATAATTCCGAATTTCATCCACAAAAAAATGATGGTTTCTGAAATTCTTGAGCGAAGGTTCTCGATTCATCCTCGCATTGATTACCCATATCTTCTAGCTTAAAATCAAGCACTCGTGCTTTTATTTGCGAAATGAATTTATTAATAGACCTGCGTCATTTTGGGGGAAATACGTGGTCTTTTTCTGCAGCTAAAACGTTGAGATTTTTCGAATTGGCATTCAATTTTCTTTTTAATACCGAGACCGAGGTTTGTTTCATGTCTCTGTTGAAATTCTGAGATTTTCCCGAGATCGCTTTATTCCCTTGAACTCAAAAAAAAAGAACCTGTTGTTCTTCCTTAGTTGTGCACAATAAACTTCAGGGTGCATGTGAGTGTTTTTTGTTTTGCGTGAAAGGAAGACCTGAGGAATATGGTGCGAGTTTTTTTTGGACTATAGTTGATGGTTTATATAAGAAAGGACGCATCCTTGGAGACTTTGCTGGTTGGTCTCGGATCGCGTTTTGCCGTAGGATGAAAGAGTGGACGCGATTTCAAACGGTCATTCGGATGCGCATTTTGTCCTGAAAGTGTCGCACTGGCTCAAGAGAAATTGGAATAAATCATGGTTTTATGTCTGTTTCAGTATCCCGTCTTGGAAATTCCCATCTCTACTGCAGTATTCACTTCTTAACTTTTTTCCACAGGTTTTATGAAAATCTTGCTCAATCATGACAAAAAATAAAATACTGTATACACAAGAGATTTTCTTGGCTCCTTGTATGAAAGTCTGTTTGTTGCAATCAAGGAACTTCTAGTGACCCATGCAAATCTGTTGTATGAAAGTTTTTTTGTACAGTATTGTGATTCTTGTACAGTATATAAGCAATTGTGAACATTGTTGCTAAATAACAGGGTACAGGTGGTACCTTGCAATTCAACCATAATCCATAGCTGAACTAGGGTCAAATTGCAAAGTGGTGGAATTGTGGGAGACTGTGAAAGTCAAAAATAGCAGTTGGCCAAAGAAGGTTGAATTGTGGGGCAAGGGTAAAATTGCAAGTCAACCTCCCAGCAAATTCAACTGTCAAATTGCAAGGTACCACCTGTATTTATTCCTTCAAACTTGAGTTTTATTTTCTGGACAAATCAACATACCTGAAAAAATTTAAAAAGCTCTGCAGCAGTAAAACAAATTTCTTTCAGCATAAGTATTGAAAAAGTCTTTTGTGTTATAATTATTTAATTACACCCTTTAATATATGAGGAGTCTCTTCAAATCTGATTTTGAGGGCTTCAACTGTGTAATGGAATTTGAACTGTGCAGTATTGTGTTTAGATACAGTATTGTTCTTGTTTAAATAAAACCTGCTGTCTCAATATTTTTTAAGCCTCTTCAAATTAGACTTTGAAAGGGTTGCCTGCATGACCAAATTTCACCAATTTTATGCAGGTGGACTCTCTCTACAACAAAAGGATAGCCATAAAAATTCATTTTAGACAGGATTTTGTTGTAGCAAACACCTATATAACATTGAGATATAACCCTATAGGACCCCCAAAAAATTCTTTCTACAAAGAAAATTGTACCTTGTGCTTTAAATAAACTATTAATGCTGCTTTGTCTTCAATATTGGGGGATGGGTGGGTGCATGGATACATGTCAGAAATCCAGTTTTATTTTGTGGAGTGTGTTCTCTTTTGTTTTTGTCATTGGTTTGTGCTTTGTTTCATGCTTTGAAGTGATTGAATGTCTTTGGGGGAGTTGGGTTGGGTGGGGGGGGGTTTGGATGCGGGAGTCTTGGTTGTGCCTTGTGAACTCTGAAAAGCAGCAAATGAAGTGTTCTGTTCATTCATTCATTCACAAAGAAAATCTTTGTAGAGTGAATCCATCACCTGTACTGTATTTGGATGTAATTTACACACTGTCTTCGTGAATGACTACTGCTTCTATATATACACTATACAGTACAGTATTTGAATGCATTTTCATGGTTATCCATGTTGCTTGCCTTATAAATATATGTATATATATATATATATATAACAGGAGAGTACAGCTGCCTGAGGGTGGACTTGAGGTTCAAGCGGGAATTCAGCTACTACCTGCTGCAGATCTACATCCCGACATGCATGCTGGTCATCGTGTCCTGGGTCAGCTTCTGGCTGGACCACACCGCAGTGGTGGCCCGCGTGTCCCTCGGAGTGACCACCCTGCTCACCATGGCCACGCAGAGCAGCAGCATCAACGCCTCCCTGCCGCCGGTGTCCTATTCCAAGGCCATCGACGTGTGGACCGGCGCCTGTCTCACCTTCGTCTTCGGCGCCCTGCTGGAGTACGCCCTCGTCAACTACGCGAGTCGGCTCACGGCCCGGCGCCGGAAACGCACCGCTGCTGAAGCCCGGCGTCGCGCGGAGATTGAGGCCGCCGCCATGGAGGCCGCCGGGATGGACCCCGAGGGACCTGGAGGCGCCTTCGCTGCTATGGTAATGGACACTTTGTCGTTCATTGATTTTCGGCGCCTAATCCATAGGGTAGAATGAGAAGTGAACGAATTGATTTATTGTCGAATTTCCACAGCAAGGGGAATTCAAGCGATGGCAATTTTTCAAGATTGTTGTCCTTATGGACTTTTGAAATAAAAGAAAACACTTGGTTAAAAATATATATAGGATAGAATATATTCTTTTGTAAAATGCACAACACAATCTTTCCAATATTTCCGATGATATAAAATAACACAGACACACTGGAGAGACTTCCAAAATTTGCAAGTGGAAGTTTCTCTAGAAAACGCTGACTGCTGCAGGTTCAGAGAATTCTGGTCCTGGTCTGGTGATCAGCCTAGAGTTTATATGGAAAATAAACAGATAAAATATTGCCTTGTTCTGCCTTATTTGATTCTCACAATGCCATGGCCTAGAGTTTATATGGAAAATAAACTCTAGGCCATGGCATTGTGAGAATCAAACAAGGCAGGACAAGACAATATTTTATTGCCTCAGTTGTACTATTGTAATCCAAAACATGCATGGATTTCATTGTGATTTTAAGACAAAGGAAAAAGCCTCTCATGGCCTTATTTCAAAATAAGGCCTTTCAGAAAAGTGGGAGATGAGAGGAACTATTTTTGGATTCAAAAATAGTCGAAAATAGTCCTTGCAGGAAGGACGAGAAATTCTCAGATAACAAGATGCAAATCTGAATATAGCATTGCCTTTGCTTCTGGCAGATAACTGTATACTGTATAGCAATACTGAAAAACTGAAAGAAAAAACATTTCGAGCATTCCCAGCAAATAAATGGACATTTAAAATGCATATAGCAAATGCATTTTTTACATCCAGCTGCTATGCATAGCATATGTTATGCCTACTCAAGACTTTTGTTAAGCATATAGCAGCTATAGGCATTTTGATATGTCTATACCTGTTACATGGAACAGGTGTACTTTTTGCCATTTTGCAGAGAGCAGCAGAAATTTATCTTCCTTTTTTGGTCAAAGAGCTAGCTCCATTTTTATGAGAGCCAACAGCAGCAAGTGTGAAGAAACACACTGCTGCCATGTCTATGTTTTAAAAGCTTTTGAATTCTGGTGATTTTTTTGTTGTTGTTGCAACATGGCATCGTTGGTGTCTAATGATGATGATGATGATGATGATGAATGAATGAATGACTGACTGGTGGCCTGTGTTCCCCCCCAGAAGCCCCTGATGCACCACCGGAGCCAGGAATTCATGATGCACAATAACGTGCACTGCAGTCTGCACGTGCCTCGTCCCCCGCGTCGCTGCTTCTTTTTCCGCTGGCTGGACAAGTTCAGCACCTTGTCCAAGAAGATCGACATCATGTCTCGCATCAGCTTTCCTCTCCTCTTTGCCTTCTTCAACTTTGGCTACTGGACCAAGTACCTGTACATTGAGAAAGACCACGACGACTAAAAACCATCACAGCACAAGTGGTAAAGGGGGGGGGGATCTTTTCCTATCTCATCCATTAAAAATTAAACTCAAAAAGGGCCCCGAAAAAAAAAATAATGATTAGACTTTAAGAGCCTTTTAATTTTGGCAAATCGCATAATATAGGTACATGACCATCAATTTATATGCAATAGCTAAATGCAGCAGCATCAAAGTGAGCTTATATTCCTGTTTGGCAATGATGTCTTTTGCCATTGCTGAAAAGATCTTGTATCACTGAAATACCTTTATATAAGTTTAATTGAAAGCCCCCACAATTTGCAGGTAAGAGTCATTATTGAATCATCAAGTGCAATGTAAATTCAACAGTGTAGTTTTTTTTGTGGAAATGGTTTTGTTGCCATTGCTGAAAAGAAAAGTCAGCAGGTGGAAATGTTTAGCAGTTAATATTTTCATGAATGGTGTTTTTGCCATTTTTGGAAATAACTTGTATCACTGAAAGACTTTTAGCTGCTTCTTAATAGCCTACAAATTGTAGCAGCTGAAATGCGCATTAGCCTCAGAATAAAAACTAAATGACTTTGGAAAATGTCAATGAATTAGGTTGGATAAGAAAATGTTGAATGAGTTGATGAGGAAATCTACAGATAATATTTTGTTTCTATAACATGGAGTTTTGACTGGGGGCTGACCAGTGTAATTCAATAGAGAGATGTTCTCCACTTTGAAATTTATAACTGTATAAACACTCCTGCCCTGTATATTGAAATTTTTTCTTCCTAAATAAGTCCTTTGTGTGTAGGAAAACATTTTCCTTGACAAATTTTGTGTTGATGGAAGTTAATTTCATGCAGAAAAAAAAGCAATGGAGAAAACTACATTTGAGGGGAAAGTTTACTTCTAAGGAGGAGGTAAAAACTGCAAAAGTGACTTTGAAAAATAAGTAAATTTTAAGAGTGTGTTGCTGTGTCCCCTGGAATACACTATAAAGCAAGAACAGGAAGTTAAAAACTAGTACTGTACTGCATATGTGTCTTATGATTACTTATTTTGCTTAAGAGCTTGGTTTTGGAGCTTTTTTGAATTAGTCACTTCCTTCCAGGTAGTGCAGGTGGTACCTTGCAATTTGACCCTAATCCATTGCCAAACTAGGGCCAAAATACAAAATGGTCAAATTGCAATTTGACCCTAATCCATTGCCAAACTAGGGCAATCAAAATACAAAATGGTCAAATTGCAAGACTCTCTAAAAAATCAAGGGCAAATAGCGCAAGAACACTAGAGAGGCTAAAACAGGTCAATTTTTGGTAAAGAGGTTGAATTGGAAGTCAACCTCCAAGCAAATTTGACTGTCAAATTTTGGTACAGTTGAATTGCAGGAGATTGAAGTGCAAGGTACCACAAACATGTATGAACAAATTTATTCTTTATAAAAGGGGGTTACTGAATTTTCTCTCATGGCATTGTTTTTCCTGAGCATTTTTTTCACTTCTGACTTTGCACTCTCTTTTTTTCCCCATTTTTTCAGAATGATGTGTGAGAAATTTGAGGATGAGTCTTTTTTTTTTTGAGTGTGCCAGACCTTCCTCCAACTGAGTACTATCCAACTATAAGCCTATGTGCATTGCCCATTTAAAAGGTTTTCAAGCACAGAAACTAGCTTCCCTTCAATATCTTTCAATTTCATAAATTTCCTTACCAAGGTTTCTTGAATTTTTCGTGTTTTGTGTGGCAACAGCAGGAATCTATAGCCATATATACAGGACATTTCCCACTTATTTTTTGCCAAGTGAAGGTACAGTACACATAAATTAACGTTGTAACACTCATAAGAATTGTTTTTATGTTTCAATGCATGGTTGCAAGTTTTTTCTGTTAATATAAAAAGTTATGCATATTTTTAAAAGAAAACCTGAACTTTCAGCTCAGGCGCAGCTTAATTTGTTAAATTCAGTACCCAGTTGAATGGCTCCATTTGATCTCTGATTTCATATTTCTTTAAATTTCTATTTTTCTTCATTGTTATGTTAAATTTTTAGATGGTCATCTGAGACTTGTAACAATTAATAGTTACCTCCAAACATAGTGCAAACATGAGAGCTTCTATCGCTGATTTGTTCTCGTGTCAATATGATCTGGATACATTACAAGTTTTTGTGATTCGTCCTCGACGACTCGTGGAAAAAAAAAATTCGCAAGTTCATGTTTCTCGTGAAATTTTGAAGAAGACGTATATGGAAACGGGAATCCCAATCTGATACTTCTATCAAAAATGCCTCGTCACGTTATTCCTTTGAAAAGGTAGGAAAAACGATTGTGCATACTCATAATTTCTGTGCGTTACGCGCATAGCCGATGTTTCATTACATAACGCATGAACCCGCAACATTTTTTTTCCGCATTCTCTTCGCATCGATGATCTTTTTCTTTTTGGACGACGCGTATTTGTTTTGTTTTTTATGTCCGATTCCCTCGTCGAAGAGAGGGCTGATGATGATGTTTTCACTGTTACACATGTTTTTCTTTCTTGCTTGCTTTCGGGGAACTGAGGAAATTGATCAATCTCTGCTCAAAACAAGATTGACGGATTCAATCGCAACTTCTACACTGTATATATTAGGCGAGAGAACATTGATGCTATTGTTGTACAGAAAAATGCTATTGAAATTAGAAATCCGTGCGACTGGTTTATATATTGCGAATCGGAAGAAAGCGCGTGTACTGGTGAAAGAGATGATGTTCTGTCTAGCTTGTTAGAAAGAATATGAAGGTTATAAGAACTAAAGAAGTTGTGAATGAGTGAAATCTGAGGGTGAAACTCGAATGCTTAAGTGCTAGTCCAAATAAAAACTCGGATATCTTGACCATGGCAGAAAATCTTTGAATTTGGATCTTTTCAAGAATCTCTTGAATGAGTGGGCTGTGTGCAACATATATACTGTACTGTATATAATGTTGAATTTAGTTCTTATCCAGAGTAAAGTGAATAGTTTGACGTAGATGTCGCCAGCAGTCTGAATCGGATTCTGGGTTTGAGTCATTCCAGATTGTATTTGCGATTTCTTTCCAAACTTTAAAAATTAATAATGACAGACAACAGGTTTGTATTATTTCCTTGACAATTTATTTCATGGTCAATACTGTTCTATTCATGGTGAATTATTGAAGAATTAGTTCTGACTTTTGCGTTATATGTTATCTTCAATGCATACGTATTTGATTAAATACCAGATTCATTGTGTTCTTCAGAATTTTAAAAATTGAATTTTGAAAAACCTGGTGGTAATTTGAAATTATTGAGATGCATTGATGAAGGAAGAGAGTCACTGGCGTGTTTGTATATGTCCTTGAATTGAAACACGTTCCCCAGTTGATAGAAATCGTATAGTTTGAGATAGTGTTGCATCTTCTATGCTCTCCTCCTGGCGATGTTTGATGTATTATTTTCATCTGGTCGCTTTTCCGAGTGTCTTTTTCAGAAGAGAACTAAATCTTTCTGCTGACTTCATATCCTAAGTCTCTCTTTTTTAACAACACTTCGCTGTAATCTTTTAGGCTCAGAACCTGAAGTGTTTGTACAGCACCCTCTGCTTGAGCTGCTGCGGATTTTGTTTGTGCATCGAGAAAAAGTAAAGATGATGTTTTTTTCATGTGTTTTCCATGCTTGACTTCATCTGTGAAACGTGGGAATTAGTATACTTCCTATGCTCCCACATCAGCGAAAGACACACTCGACAGTTTGAACCATTCATTCAAGTTGAGCTTTTGTGATGCAGAAATAGATGTCTCTTCTTAATTGAATCCTGACGAAGGAGACGAACCGTTGTCCGTTCAACTGACCCACTTTCTTATGGTGAATCCGCGTGAAATAATAGTTTCTTCGAGATGTATGACGACTTGACGAGTAGAAAATCATGGACTTCGAAGTTCCGACGAGAACAGCATTGTGTACGATTTTTTTACTCCTGCAAACTGGTGATAGTTCATATTCGTAAATGTGTTTTGCACACACCTGAAACTGAGTAAAGAAATGACGATGACATTCTCAGAAATTTCAGCCGGTTCTACAACTACAGTACTTACGGGATCCCGTCGTTGTTGCTGGCTTCGTGTATAGCGTGCATTTGCAAACATTATGTATGAAATTCCGAAGATGGAAATATGTCAACGTCCGCCGAGTTGCGAAAGAAGGAAATCAGCAACATGATGACGTTCGCTTTCAGAGCGAATCTACGTCGAACCTGGCAATAATATTGTTTAAAATAACGGGGAAGTTCCAGTGACTACAGTATATCCATGAACAGTGATACAAGTTTGCCCCTTTTCCACAACTTCGGTGTGAAGATGTCTTCATATGTTGTTCGCCGTACTTTTTCCTTGGGTTATTTTTCGTCACTTCCATATGCGTTCGTGTTAAAAATGACGAAGTATCCGCGGAATGTGATGCTCACTTGTCACTTGAATTAATTATTACCGGAAAATTGCATCTCCCTTTTTGAGCATTTGCATTTTTTCCGATATCTGCATCACAGTAAAGTAGGACGCGTTTACTGTACATTTGCACTTCCCGATGTGATAATTTGATGCAATCTATTATAGGCATTTATGGCTAAAAAGATAAATTGAAATGTACAGGGTAGGCGAAATTTTTTACAGTCTCGTAAGGAAAGATTTTCTTTCCAATTTTCTTCGAAATCATGACGATAGTGGAAGCTGTTAATGTGGGGTTAATTATTTTGTCTTGAATAATGAGACGTACAGGGTAGGTGTGGCTGTCGAAAGGCTTCAATTACCGCGTCTCATCAATCATATCAGACCTTCTGGAAATCGTCAGTTTGTTTGACTTACCTCATTTTACTCGAAATGATCAATTCAGTTACATAACTTCATCATTTTAATTGTATCAAAACCTGACCTTCTAAACCCGGCATTGAAGCGAACGTCTCAAGGCAAGCCTATAAAAATTGAATTTATATCACTAATCGATGTTCACGAGAGAAATTTGCTGATAGCTATCGTTAGTGTGTCAGTCCTTTTCAGTCGGTAAAAATATTTATACTGTATTTGAAAGATCACTGATATTTCCCCCTTTGGCAGAACGACGACATTTGTAAGGAGAATATGGAACTTGCGCTCTGACTTCTTCCTGGTCCTGTACCCTGGGAACTTATCCACTCATCCCGACAAGGCAAAAAATGATGGAGCTCCAATTCTTGGATGCAGACAAATACTCGAACCAAAGATATTCATGACCCTTTTCTTCGGCCAACCGCGATATATAGTGCCATGATCCCTCCTTCGTGTACGATATGGTGTGATGGAGGTGGATCCCGCATTCCATATAGTGGTCTAACTCATTATGTCGTTGTTTATTCAACTCCAATCTTTTCCAGGGAAAGAAAGAACTGTTCGACGCGCGTGGAAGAAGTCTAAGCATAAGACTGACGTTTGGGTGGCGAATGCTGCATCTTTTCTCGACATGTGAGTTTGCATTTGTTGAGACTAATATATAATGACTTATTTTCTGATTTACGTATAGGGAAGTAAAAAGGTGTTTAAGAGACTCTTTCAATTTATTGAAGAAGCGTTTGCATTTAATATTTAAGACATGCTGGATGCTGCTTCTCACGTTTCACACAGATGGTAGTTGAGTTTTGGCATTGCTGAATCCGCCCTACGAAAACTTTCTGGACTATGATGATTATGTTTCCGCTTATTATCCATGCCTGTCGTTATTTTAGCGAAGAATACTGTACGTCCCTTCTACAGTACTGTATATTGATCGCTTCCACCCAAGATGGAAGTACTGTACTGTACTCCATATGAAGGGTTTTCAATTATACGCGTTATAACTCTTGACTAATGGTAGAGTTGTGGAACAAGAATTTTTATAGCTTATTATTTTCCCGGGTCAATTTGTGAAGGATACTCTCAGTTTTATTCAAGTCTAATCAATGCCAATTTCTTTTCTTTTTGCAGTCGAAATTTCAAGAGACCAGCAAAAAACTTCGAATCGGTGAGATTTGAATTTGGAAAACAAGTCTTATGTTTCGAGGGAAACTAAGAAAACTAATTGCAGGAAATCGAAATTGGTGCTATTCTGGGCCAAGCATTGTTTCTTAAATTAGTTGACAGCGAATGCTGAACTTGGAGCGATGGGTCATTTGCTAAATTAGTCTTCCACTTCCTTTCATCAAGTCACAGTACTATTTATTGATCTTTGCTTTCCTGCGTTAATAATAAGATAATAGCCAAAGGCCCCAGGAAATTTGAGTTATCCAGGTTTGAGATGCAAAGCCTTCGATTTGGGGAGGTTTCCACTTGGTGGGGTTAAACTTATAATTGAGGTTCGAGTGTATACATTTTCTGGGTGTTAATATCTTCGAGTATCCCTCAGGAAAATACTGGACGGAAACGCACGAAAAATGGCGAGAAAAATGACTGATGCAGAATTGGGAAGCTTGCGAACGGATTTTCTGATGGCAGCGAGATCTGACATGCGTTGGCGAAAACGATTCCTGACATTCGTCTGCATGCTTGTGCTCTTGAGCACGTTCGTCATTACCATCAAGATGACTCAAGATAGCTCTGAGGCGACATCTACATGTTGCTGGCCGTTTTTCGATGCCAGAGAAATCCCGCGGTTCAATGACCGTGTCGCTAATTTAGCCAATCCTGCAGTGAAACTATGAGTGAGTACTGTATATAACTGCTGCGTACAGTACTGTTCGAGTTCGGTATTCTGCTGTTTAGCAGAAACTCGACTCATGTGCTTTTATATTTGCTCAAGTACGGTACAGGTACTTCACAATTCAACCGACAAATTTGAAAGGAATGTTGACTTGCGATTCGACCCTTGCCCCCTAATTGACCAGCTTTGGCCACTTTTTGCGTTTTTTTAAACTTAATTTTTAAATTTCATAGATTGTCTTGCAATTTAACTGATTCGTGATTTGACCCTAGTGTGGCACTGGATTAGGGTCAAACCGCAAGGTGCAGTACCACCTATATACAGTACAGTACTAGTATTGATACTGCATGCAGCCAAGCTTGTTGCGACATCTATACTACATCCTTTTTTGTTCACAGCTATCACTCAAACAAACTGTGTCAAACTGCGACGTTCCAGCATCATTGATGTTTACTATAGCTGTAATTATAGGAACAAACGCGTTGGAACATCTGCGGCAATGCCTCATGAATCGACACAGCAAACATACGAAAATCCAGGATATTTGTTATTTTTATCTGATTTCAAGATTCTCTTCCTTCTTTCGAATAAAAATGAGCTTTGGGCGTACCATTTTATTTTGGTCTAAGTTGAATTAAGAATTGAGATTGAGGACATCATTCAGCTAGATGACTTTTGTGCTGCCCTCATTTCAAACTAATGTAGTGCACATGCTTTATGGTTTTTGAACACATATATATTGTTTGGATGTCACATTGCCCTAGGGGAATTGGTTCACATGTTGGCAACCCATACATGAACTGTATGTCTTATGTATGAGCAGTATGAATGGTAGCAAAAAATTTATCTACACCAGCTGTGCACACTTGTAATCTCATAGTATCTTGTGTGCACCATTTGTGACCCCGGTGTGCACCAACAGTTGTCTATGAGCTGGAATAGCTCCCCATTTGGGTGATACTGTATATATCAAAAATGTTAAAATTTGGCTTCTTTGTCAGTGTAAAATAAAGTCAAATGAATAGCAGGACAGCATTTATAGATTCTATGTTATTTCCTTCATTCTTAATGCCCTCCCTGCGCAAGTAAGGCTTCAACATATTCATGTCTCAACCTGTGTGCTGCTGAAGTGCATTAATAGAACTTTGGAAGAATTTGAAGCTACAGGTGGACTCTCTTGTCCAGACCAATTCACTTTGTAAAATTCGTTGTCCTACAGGGGTCTCTCCCCATGGTATTGGGGTTCTCTACAAGCTTAAGTGCAATTTTTGCTACAACAATTTTGTTCTGTTGAGAGAGTCCATCTGTGTAAATGTTGTGTTGATGTTCTGCTCTTGAGAACAAGAATTTGAAAAAAACGTGGTCCTCAGGACATGAGTTAATAAGAGGGCTGGTTCATAAGTTTTGAGACTTTTTGAAATTGATGCAATGGATTTTCAAGAATTTAAAAATGATTTTTTATTCAAATAGTTCTCATTTGATAGATCTCAAAGAATTTTAAGGATTTTTGCTCAAGATTTGAATACAGTAATGTACCTTGATTGGAAGAAATGAGACGCTCTTTATTTTGGATGTTACTGCTGTAATCTCTAGGCAAATGAACGAAATGTTCGGGAGAGGGATGTTATTTCCAGGATAGATGTCACTAGATATTATAGTCATGTTCCGGAATATATAGCCCCATCAGCAATATTGTAGAAATTGATTAAAGAAGCTGTTTATGGGAAAATAATTTTACAAGACATACGAATTGCCAAATGGTTACTGAAAACAGTCCAGCGAGGCTGATTGCGCAGAAATTAGTGAATCGCTTCTTGGTGAATTCGTGGGATCCGTGAAACTCCTCACAATTTTCAATCATCGCCGCGAACCTCTTGGCAATCGCATCCGTATCCAAAAGCAATTTCCTCAAAAGCAAATCTTCCTTTATGGTCGTGGTACTGCCTTGATCGCGATTCGCTTCTGCTGCGTTATTATTATCGTGATCAACGTCCAGGCGAATGTTCAAGACGAACGAGTCCGGATTCGAGGAAGCTACGATGAGGGCTGAAAAGTCTGCGTCAGAGAGCGTCTTTTCGGGGCCAATCAGGGCGATGGACGCGAAGCAAATGGTCACTGCTTCCCGGAAGTCCGAAGTACTGAGGAAGGAACCCGGTCCTCTTACGTACTGTCTCTTTGCCAGGATTTGTCCTGAGTGGTCTGTTGCAGTGATGTGCACTGCTGGAACTGGATGGGAAGCGTCCACCACCTTGATTGCGTTATTGAAATTGATAATAATGTGTTTGGAAATTTGCCAATATATCTACAAAAAATTTTATGGAAATTTGCTGATCCACAGGCGCACAGAAAATACTGGGAAACGCTGATATATACAAGTACTATATATCAACTTGAGCAGTACTTACTTCTTCCGTTTCAGGCTTCTTGATGAAGTGATCATGAGCCAAGGTGACGTTGAACCGAACTAGAACAGTTTCATCCTTCTGAACGCCCTCAGACAAGCATCTCGTTGACATCGGTTTTAAATCAAACTGCAGAGGTCTACAAGGTCCAATAAAGCTCCAGAAAACCAAGCACATCACGTGGAAGGTGTTCAAACTGGACGAGTCATAAAAGGAACCCATATCTTCTTCACGTGCTGGAATTTTCAAAGGTGGGCGATTTATCGAATTCTATGTTGTACGTGATTACGATGAAAACGCGAACGGATTTGAGTACGCACTATCCTTGCCTACTATAGTTTCTTCCACTTCGGGGGTTCTTTTGTGCGACTCATATATACGCGGTGAATCATCAGACGGTGACCTATATTTTCTTTTCTCGTATACTTGTGTGTAGGGTCTTCTGGTGATCCATCGTGCAGTGATTGCGTAATTTCGTCAGTGAGTGAGGAAGAACCTTGGTCGCCGTCTTCTCTTATGGACGATGGCTCGCGTTGCCGATGGACTCATGGATCAAAACTTCAAAAGTATATAGAACTATAAAAGTTTCTCATGATGGCAAACAAGTTGCTGAAGTTAGTTGACAAAAAAAGCTGAGACGGACCAGCCAGAACTGTCAAAAGTTTCTAAACACAAAACTGTTCCTGTTAAAAATGCTACTGAAACAAAAAACTCCATATCTTGGGAAAACCTTGCGTTTCCCTTATTAACAAATACTGTATTTTAGTGTATATTCAAAAACTAAGTGCCCTGATGTACAGTGGGTCCCCCCGGATATGATTATTGGTGTAGGAATGACTCATAGAAATATCCACATTACAAGTTAAAAGTGACTTTCATATAACAACTCCAAAATTTTCAAGAAAGTTTGGCTTGTAGACTTAAATGCATTGAATATATAAGAGGGTTATGCACAAAAAGTACTCAAAAATGTGTTTGATACCAATTAAATTGAATTTTTAGAAATTTTAATGCATTTTATTTGGAAAATATCAAATGATTTCCCATAAAAGTCTATAGGAAATTGTAATTTGTAGCTATAGAACAAACTGCACTAGCAATGTAGCTCTGGATTGATTTACCTGTGTAGTACAAGGTACCACTGTAATTGAATTTTCCTTATACGGCGTGGTACAGCAATTGTTTCAAGTTTCAAATGTTCATAGGGAAAGTCCCTTCAAACTATACATGTGAGTCATATTTTCCTTGCGTAAAAATTTTGTAATTTATGTGTTTGAAAATATGGATTTACCTTGCAAGGTGATGATGTGTATCCAAATATTGTTCAAAGTTGCAATCATTTATGTGGAAAAATTGCTGGAATTCGATCACGTTTTTGAAAATTCTGTGATGCAGAAAAAAATTGCAATGTGAGTCAAGTTTTTTTGTGCCTAAAAATCTCTTGATGTAGATTTTGAATACATTAAATATATTTTCAAACAAACCGAAAATGTTATTGTCACTAAACCACGAATAAACTAGCAAAAATGAACCAAGGATATTAATAAATACAAAATTCAGCAGCTTGTATAAAAAGAGGAAAATCTTATAATTTTCAGGAGAAAAACAATTCAAAGTACTGTATACTGTATATCTTATGAAACCATATTATTACAGTAGAACACATCCGTGCGTTTATGACGAATTGTCAAATTGAACATTTTTTTTATATAGTGCGAGATTTTATATTTCATCCTGGTCCATTTCTTTCCTAATGAAACCTTGCAAAAATGTGAAGTCCATATAACAAAATTCTTAAATAAAATAAAATAAACACGGATTGGATTATTTTTGCAATGCAGACATAAAGGACCCACTGTGTTGTGAACCATTGCTCATGCATCATTCAAATTATTAGTCACTTCTTGTGAGGTTGAAGGAAATCTAATGAAATGTGCTTTTAGTCATCAGTTGTGTTGTTCTTGTGTCCTTATAAAAGTTTGGTGTGCATTTGTTTGTCAAGTTAGTCCTATTTTTCTTGTTTCTAATATGGTGGAATAGAGAAAAGTACAAATAGATCATACGTAATGAGAAGATGAAATGTTTTTGGAAAAGTTATACCTTTAAGTCCACAAGAATATGGTTTTTATAAAAAATAAACTTGTTTGAAGCAGACAATTCTTCATGCGGAGGATCATCTGGGTATTTTATGGAAAGCCGTATGATCTGATATGGTAACTATGAGTAATTAGCGTGTGACATATAGCTGAATTTGTAAATAGTGTAATGACGTGTTGCTGGGTTTGGTTATCCTCTCCGAATAATAAGTCCCCCGCAATATAAATTACTGATGCTGCTTAATAAAAATGCAATGATCAAGCTCAGTCTCCCGACATATCAGCATATTCAAGCTGTTCTTTGATTGGAAGTCTTGAGAGGACCCTTTTTTCAAAGTGTTTGAGTTCCAGTTCTTTTTTTCAACTTTCTCTTCTTTCTATGAATGCCTAAGTGGCTTGTCCGGGCGGCGCATACAGAACATTATTCCTGAGAACATTTTCCGTATCCGGACAGATATTGCGGATGCCATGTGTTCGTTTCAGTTCCTTTCGGTTGAGGGATCACTTCATCGTTTCCTGTCGCTCTTATCGGTGGCGTGCAGTTCAATAATTCGGATTTTTTGTCCTCGTATTGTGTAGGAAATTGTGCTGTGTATCGTTTTTCATATTTGTTACCTTTACCTGTACATATACCAAAAGAAGATGGTTGTAAGTATGGCATTTAACAAATCGTGCGTGCGTATTCTAATTCTAAATCCATTTTCTGGGTCATGATCAGGCCGGTTACACGGAAGATCAACTTGCGGGTGAGTTATTCTGGAATAGCTCAGTGAGTGTCGGTGTTTTAAACTTCGTGTTTGTGGTCCTTCAGATTTTCAGGAGGCTTTCCAGTTGTTCGACAACCGTGGGGATGGAAAAATATTCGTAAATCAAGTAGGAGATGTCCTACGTGCCATGGGACAAAATCCGACAGAATCCGACGTGAAGAAGCTTACAAATCAGCACAGGCCCGGTTTGTTCGATTGTTCAATCATTGTCTCTGGACTGGAGTGCTAACAAGGTGGTATTTCGCAGAGGATCGGATCAGCTTTGAAGTGTTCCTACCTATACTGCAAGCAATAGGCAAAAATCGCAGCACGGAAAGTGCGGAGGATTTCATTGAAGGACTGCGTCACTTCGACAAGGACGGGAATGGTTTCATTTCCTCTGCCGAACTCCGTCATCTTCTCACAACACTTGGTAAAGAACTCTGCAGTGGTCTTAGACAAAAGAAAGTTTCCAGCGAATCAGTAACGAATAGAAAAGCACTCGTTACACATAGTTTTGATGTTTCGAATTCCCGAAACTCCTCTCTCTTTTTCTCAGGCATTGCTAATTTTGGATCATATTGAATCGAACTGTTTTCGCGTACGTTGCATATGTTTATGGGATGTTTTCCCTGTTCAATGCCTCAAGTAAAAAGGGTTTGGTTCGATCTATTTCCAAAGCTAAAAATCTGTAGAGTGATATATTTAATCGATGGTGTTTCTCTTTTTGTTGCTTTTCATCCTGAGTGTTCTTCTCTTTGTCGCTTTCATTCTTGGTTCCTTTCTTCTGCCCACGCTTATGCGAACTACGGCATCCAACTTATTAGTCTTTTACTCCTTCAGGTGAGAAACTGACTGACGAAGAAGTGGAACAACTCCTCGCCGGACACGAAGATGGCCAAGGGAACATTCATTACGAGGAATTCGTTCGCCAAGTCATGAGTGGATAAGCGGGGATTACCGCTTCCTCTTGTATTGGATGTGTCAGGCAAAAGTGTTTTAACTCACTAACGCACATCGGTTCTACCACGGAGCGCTTGGAAGTGTTATGGACAAAATCGTGGACTAACAGCTTGCGGATTCGTATCTATTTATTCTAATCGCCCGCGACATTCCCTGGAGCTAGTGTGGCCGGTTCCCAGGTGTTTTCTCGCTTCCATTCGTGCCGTGCCGCCTTCCAAAGCCTTTAGATTTTACTTTTTATGCAAGTGTAATGAAATGCTTCAGTCAAATCTGTTCAATTTCTTTCCTATTTTTTATCGTTATGAAGCTTGAAATTAATGACGGTAGTCCTTGCTTTCATTTCCGCTGAACTGTCAGGCGTCCCAAAATGTATTTCTTGCAACATATGAAAGATTAGGCTGCCGTGCCTGCAGCCCTTCTAAGAATATTTACATGAAAAAGACTTCGCTATAGCACGAGATCGCCGTTTTTTGTTAAAAAGTAGCCTTGATAATACGGTATCTTATCTCCAAATATGTTGAAAGTATTGCGATTAAGCTGCCAAATTTTTTCTTCTAGCTTGTACTACAAGTATTCTCTTTCGTTGCAGACAATGATAGCAATCAGGGAAGAGTCATGTTACTTCGATTGCCTTCCGGAAGATGTTATCCTGGAGATATTTGGTTATCTGAGTGCGGTTGATCTATATCGTGTTTCTTTCATTAATGAACGAATCGCAAGAATCGCGCATGATAGGACTCTGTGGAGGCATGTCATAGTCGATGATCCGGTGCCATTGAGGGTGAGTTTATTTGCAATTCTTTCATCCTATTCCATTTAAACAATTATCTAACACGGTTCATCTATTTTAAATTTTTCCTTGGATTTATCTGCTTGTTCGGAAACTTTTTGAATAATAACTCTTGAAAAGATCATTCCCATGAAATTTTGGGGATTCCTGACATCGGAAATTGAAAGCATTTTATCTTTCGTTTATTTTAGCTGCCGCCACTGCATTTTTACGTGATAACTCACGTTTTTTTTAAATTCCAAACTAATTTAATCTAACGCATAAATTGTTATAGGACGCCGAAGTTCCCTAATCTAATGACTGAGTGTTCTGATGTAGGAACTTATTAAACTGGTCTCTTAACTGATCTTATCCAACACTCAACCAAACTAATATTGAACCCGATCGCAAATTTCCCGAAAAATTTCCATTAAATTTATCTTGGTTCAGTCAAAATGCATCGCCTGTGGGAGTAGAACCATGACCGAGAATCGACATTTTTTTTTATCATGTGAATTCGAATTGTTTTTCATCTGAGTAAGTTCTGTGCATCATTTGTAAGTTTGTTCTGTAGATGACGAATAACTGTGAGGGCTGCATGTAAATTCGATTTTACAGATGAATGACGCTCAGAATCTGCTAACATTATTTTTCTGTGAAGTAACATACGATTTATGAACTCATGTTTTTCAGACATTGCATGCGATCTTCGACAACGTCTCGAATATCCGAGAACTCGTCGTGACTGGGTACCTTCAGAAGTTTGCCGGAAAGCCCAAATCCGCCACGGAAGTGTTGTCTGCGTCGCTTCTTTCTAAATTTGCGAAAAACAATCCGGATGTGGGTAGAATCACTCTGAAGGATTGTCCAGTACGGTCAGAAAGCACCGCGTTGTCAATATTGCCGAACCGGAACTTGAAGTATTTGTCGATCGTGCGATGCATTTCCCTGGACAAGAAACCGTGGTTCTCTGCTGATTTCAATTTCGACCAGTTGGTCGTGTTGGTGCTTGACGGGAACAACTGGCTGACGAGTCATTCCTTGTTACGGATATGTAAACTACCGCAGTTGAAAGCGTTGAGCGTTCGTGGATGTCGATGTTTCGGGTGAGTGAAACATTATCTTGACGACTTTCTTTTGATTGAACGCACACTTCATTATTAGTTACAGTGAAACTTAGGAAACAAGCCAAAAATATTCGGAAATCGTCAAAAGCTGCTAAAATCATGGCAATACTATTCTACGAATTGATCTGTTCGTTACGTAGCCTAACTGCGGTACTGTACTCTCCGGAAAAAATGAATCAATCGAACCTTGTCCCAAAAAATAAATCATAACATCTCCCCAACCCATCCTATATTCTTTTCGATCTGGTTTAATGTCAAAATACGACCCGGATTCAGTAAACTTAACCTAACTGGAGAGCTGACGAACAACTGACATGAACTCAGGAGTTCAGGACTGAGAAACCAAGCGTAAGTAATCTATAAGAACTAGCCGAACCGACAACTAGCGTCCCGAAGATAACTCGGAAGTGTAGAACTCTCTAACTCGGAATATTCCGTAGAATACAGTATTTTTCATATATCTTGATGTCGTGCCAGAATGTTCCTGCTTAACCTGATCTACATTGTCAGTTGAAAGATGGCCGACCGACAGCTTGAATGAGATACATTAGTTAGTACCAGAAGAACATCGGTATCGCGAGGTTCCGTGCTACAGTACTTGAAGTTTTCCTTTTTTTTCGAGCTATGCGTTCTGTAGATGAATTTATCGTGACTATGGTACAGAAACGACTTTTCCGTGTTTATTCGAAGATCTGTAATGCTGTACGCCAGTGCGACGGAGCGAATGGCGACATGGTCACTGGAATACCTAGACGTCAGTAACACCAAAATCACGTCAACGGTGTTGAACCTCCTATTGCACGAACGTTTGGCGTCTCGAATCAGGTTTCTTTACGCGGAAAACTGCACGGAGCTCAGTCACCGACTTCTAGAGAATTTGTATTCCCTGAAGAATTTGGATATGCTATCGTTGGCTGGGAGTGAAAAGGTTCACGTCGAAGCCATTTTGAATCGGCTAGGAGCCATGAATCTTTTGCGTCGCATGACGGAAGTGAATCTCACTGGATGTCCTCTTGGAGTTTCGGAAGCGAGTGCTTTGTTGCAGTATGTGGACCATAGGAAGGTTTTGATTGGTGGAGCTATGGTGCCTACAGAGAAACCCGATTTGAAGAGTCTATTCAAGGTGTGACGATGTCCTGGAGTTTATGGGCTTGCCACGGATACAATTCACGGCCTTATGTGATACGCAAAAATAGCTTGTCCTTGAGCTTTAATTTTGCAAGGATTTTTTGTTGGTTCGTTCGATTGATATTTTTGGGTTTTGTTGTACAGTACAAATGCATGGGTTTTATCCATAGAGCAGGATCATCAATTTATTATTTAACTATAGATCTTGTACTGTATTCGCTTTCATTGTATGATGAGAAAAATACTCTTCAAAAGACGTACACTGAGAACCTAAATTTTTTGGTTCATGGGAAGTTTTATTTTTGAGGAGATACATGAATAATGTACAGTGGGGTCTTAGTTGATGGACTTGATATGCTCTGGTGGGAAATCCATTCTCCAGAAAGTACATTCTGTAGTATTGAAGTGGAGATAATTGTGTAGAAAGGCTGAAAGGTCCCAAGCTGAAATGGATTATGTTAGTTCAGCAATTTTTGAGCTAGTTCTTCAAAAGCCATTTGTAATTTCTGTTGTCTCTCAAATATAGATTGCCCAAAAATGGACATTAATTGAAATTGGCCGGAAAATTTCACTTGATGCTTGGTGCCGGCAAGTTACATTTGCCTCTGGTATTTTAATTGGTTTCTAGACAAATGTTTTCTGTGCAGTCTTATTCATTGTAAATTGTAAAACACTGTACCAACAATGTGGACTTCTGTGTAAGCGGAAGTCTACATAGCAAATAAGATCTAAAATAGATACATAGATACTTCATGTGGACTATCCCTAGAAATGCTAGAATAAAATTGAAAGGAATAGAAAAAATCCGTTATACAGAGAATGCAGTTAAGATCCATTGTAAAACAGGGGGAGAAACTGCTTAGGGACCATCACAAGAAGAAATTTTGACACGGTATGGAGAAAATTGTGTAGTCCACCTGCATATGGAGTATCATGCTGTCTTATGTTGTAAATAATGATGACAGAACCTGGTGCTGTCAGTGAGCTTGTCAAAAAAAGATTCTCTTCATACAAAACGTAGATCCCACCTTTAATCCCACACTTACCTGTCCTGTATAAATCTGGGGATATTCAGGTACAATTGATCCTCGATACAACAGATCTCTACTCTCGGAGAGTCGTAATTTATTCACCATTCGCTCTACTCTCAAGTTGCACATTGTCTTCGTGAGGATGATCGCATTTTTGTGCATATTCCATCTCATCCCACCGCATACACGGACAGGACATTCATTATGTGATCATGCGTCGCAGAAATGTGAAGCGAGGCAGGATTTACTCTACTCATTTTCTTTGTTCACGACAATCGGCTCTCACTCCGCGGGAAAAGGTATCATTAAAGATGGTTGCTTCCATGAATGCCCTTGCGGACGCTGTAGATGTGCATTTCGAATGTGCCGGTCGGCTTCGAAAATCCAAGATTTAAGTTGGGGATTGCGGATGTGCTGTGACGCGTTCGAAGGGGTATGCAAATGCATTTGTATGATTGAGCAGATTCTCCGGAAAGCTTCGAATCGCATGCTATTTGAATGAGACCCGAATGATGGAGTGTGGGAAACTTTGAAGCTCTTACGTGAGTGGTGTCAATTAAAAAAAACAATTGTTCGCGGTAACGGTGGTATGTAACTGCTATATTTGAGTTTGAATCGAAGTACGAGCTTTTTCGCGGCAGAGAAAAACCTTGAAGTTTTTTGCTGTCTAAATTTCCGGAGCTGCGAAATCTTCTCTTGAGTAGTGTGCTTGATGGACTACTTGAATTGATGAACGTGTTCATTCATTTTCAGAACTCCTGGACGGTAACTTGGTACGAGTAATCATTTTTATTTTTGATCATGAAGCTCGTACGTTTTTTGATGAAGTTAAGCAGTGAGACCGTCACGATCGAGCTCAAAAATGGTACCCAGGTTTCCGGCACTATCGTTGGTGTCGACGTTTCGATGAACACTCATCTCAAATCAGTTAAAATGACTCTGAAGAACGCATCGGAACCCGTTGTTCTTGAAACTCTCAGTGTTCGAGGTAAGTTTTGTTCTCTGTGACTTTCCATTTCCTCACCGGAACTAATGCGAGATTTCTTTCATCATGTTTAGGTAACAACATCCGGTACATAATCCTTCCCGATTCTCTACCTCTGGAAACTTTGCTTATTGATGACGTCCCGAAGTCGAAGAAGAAGGCTGCTGCAGCCGCTGCTCGCGGAGCACGTGGTGCTGCTGCCCGTGGCGCGCGCGGAGCTCGTGGAGGTGGTGGCGGCGGTGGTGGTGGACCCCGTGGCCGTGGCGGCCCTCGTGGGGGCGGCAGAGGCATGACCCGCGGAAGGGGCCGCGGGTGGCGATGATTCCACTTTCAACTTTGTTTTTTATCTTGGTTTTGGTTTCGTTCGATCTCGCTGACGGGGTCCCCCTTTCTTCAGTCGTGTGGCTTGGATTAAATTCTCTGAAGAACATTAATTTTGCTCATTTATTCAAGTGTTCCTTGCATTGCGTCGATTCATACGGTTTATCCTATCCTCCGAAAGCCATGGGGACGAAAGGTAAAGGAAAACGTTGGAAGAAGGAGGAGAAAACGAAAGTGAAATTTAAAGTTGGGAAATCGCTGCCAAAAAATACGAACGTGACGGATTTGAAGTTTAGAACGCGTAGGATTGTGGTTCCAGATCAAAGCAAGGTTGTTGAAGCGGGAGCCGTTGTTACGAGGAAAAGGAAAACTTTGAAAGTAAGTCTGACTTTTTGATCACCGTATCTCTCCAAAATGATGAATACGGATATTATCTCCAGTCATCTCCCATAAATTCGGAGTACATTTTTGTCGGTATGTTCCGGAGGAAGCTGATCATGAAAATTTGGGTAACCTTCTCGTAATACAGTACTGTTGTGAAGAAACTGTGAATGCGCTGAAGCTGAATTGAAGCCAAATTTCCAAAATGTATTTAATCTCTCTCGTCACCAATGTATGCTTCGCTCAAATTCCCAAAATTATGTTGATTGAGATCCAACTATTACGTATATTTTAAAAAGGTACCACAGGTATTTTGTGGGAAACCCACCTTCACTCGCAATTTGTTTTCCTTCGTAGGATTTGCTCGAGATGTTGGCCCATTTCAACTCTAAAGCCAGGATGGACGGCCTGGAGGGACTTTCCGAATTATGCTCCCACAACTTCGCTGAAATCACCGGCAACAGCGTGTCCGTGTTGACAAAGCTGGGACCAGTGTGTTGCGACAAGGAGGACAAAGTTAGGCGCCTCGCAGCGAAAACTCTTCATGGCATATTGTCGCAATCCGAACTCGCCGTGCTTTTGCCCTCCTCGCGTGTGCTAGTTGCCAATGTGAGCGCGGCAATGACGCATGTGGTACCCGAAATTAGGAAAGACTCGCTCAGGTTCTTTGACTCTGTGCTGGACTCGAAACCGGAGCTTCTGTTCGTCGATGCTGGCCGAGTCCTGAAGGACTTTCTTTGCCAGATTTCCGCTCCCTTGAACAGTAGTAGAGGTTTGTACTTTTTTTGTGTACATTCCTTTAATTTTTTTGACACTTGCTGAAATTGGATACGAGATTTGAGTGGTTTGATTCTATAATCTTCCATTTAAAATAATAAAGTACCGGTTCAGTCATGAAACACTGACACTTCGCCCATTGTACGTTCATTTCAAGTAGACCCTATCTGTATTGATTTGCTGCTCGAAATTCGCATTCCTGCTTATTTGCCTATTTCGGCATGTATTATACTGTACTCATCTCTGCCGCGATGGTCCTTTTCATTTCTCTTGTGAATGTACCCCCCCCCCCCCTAAAGTAACCCTGAACGCCGATATTGTGTACCTTTGTAGAAATGATTAGCCATGTCTCGATCTTATTGCCTGTGACGATTATTCACCCCTGCATTATCATAAAAATGCTTTGCATTAATCCTAGATAATAGAAGGAGTTATTACGAACAATCCGATGAAAAAAAAAAGTAGAAAGTGCGTCAAAATTTCCCGTGAAAGACTGAGCATGACTTATGAGAAAAGAAGGAGGAAACTCAGACGTGACAGCAATTTTAAAATCTGATGAGGTTGAAACTGGGATTTCTTTCCGTGAACTTATTGGAAAATAGGCCAAAAATATTTTTAAAATTAATGAAAATCTAATTGAAAACTTTTAGATACCTTATTTTTGCGCTGATTTTCTTCGTTGATTGAAATGGGATTCTGATGGAGGAATAATAATCGCGAATTCTTCACCTTCGTCAGTGCGCAAATCGTTACTTTTCCAACAACAGTTGCATTAATTTTGCAGGTGTGCAAACGGAGTGTGAATGGATTCACAAGGTGCTCCAAAGACTCAATACGTTTTGCCTCGGATTAGAAGCTGGAGGAGGGTCTGGTGTAAACGAATCTGTCGGTCAAACCATATTGTATGACCGGCGGAGGCCAATTTTCGTGGATTTGCCGCTTTTGGGGAACGAACCCTTGCAAATGAGGAAACAGACGAGGCTTGAAGAAGTCTTCTCCGAAGATTTCATTTCCTCTTTAATGCCCTTGATGCTTGCTGTTGCATCTGACGTGAGCATATTTTTGTAATGCTTCCCCGTAGAATTGCTTCTTTAGAAGTTCTACCGGGTTAATTTGGCTTCCAATTTTTTCCCTTGATTTTACGGAAGGACTTTCTCATGTGTGGCATGACTTGATGTTTGGGTTGGTGTGTCGAGTGTTAATTCAGTCAGGTTTTTGAGGCGTAGAGTTATACTTTTTCAGCCGATTTTTTGTTTTGTTTTATGTCCTGCGTATTATGTTGGATTTTTTCGATTATAATACCTCGGTCTAGCTTGATTTTTTTTTTACCAGGAATTGGAAAATAAATATACGTTTAATGAATGTGGGGTGACTCGAAAAAATTCGCTGTAGAGGACCCTTGAGAACCCAAGAAAATTGTTATACAGTTCCAAGAAAATCGTTGTAGAGAGTCTATATGGATTTTAGACACAATATTTCACTGTACAGTATTAAAAATGTGCAATGTAAAATTCAAGTATTTTAACTAAATTACCACCTTCGAGCTATGACAGGCGCCGGAGAAGGCTATGATTGGTTTACGTGTTTGGTTCGGTGTGTTTTTTTTTTGGGTTGGGTTTCTTAGTCAGGGTTTTTTTTTTGCTTTGTTGTTGAGTCAATTTATTAGGATATTTGGTTCGGTATCGGGTGAGTTAAAATTTGATTTTTCAGTCTGAGGGCGAGACAATTCTTCAGGGGTGAATGAGGATAAACCAATCAAAGAAATATCAGTATAACTCTTGGGCATTCATCTTCTGCAACTTCCTCGACCAAAAATTTTCCAATTTTATGTCCCTAAAATTCATCTTCACTACAGTTGCTAAGTTTTACGTTTTTCTGTTGAATTCAGGCGTTGGCTGTGTACGAAGACTCCTTGCCCTTGGCGAAAGCAGAAGTTGCTGCTTGCGTTGCGGAACTTCTTGGACTAGTCATGAAACATGGTTCGGGCATCGCCGAGGAAAACCGGAAGCGTATTGAACAAACCTTCAAGCACTTCCCGTATGAAGTTAATGCCTTGGTGTCCCAAAAGTCGCTTCGAAAGCTTGATGGTAAAAAAGGTACCAAGAGAGAACGTAAAGATAACGAGGACACGGCGGAATCTGGCCTGCACAAAGCCGGAAGCGTAGCCGTAGCTCTGAACCTGTGCCTCGTTCCCATCTTGGCGCGGAGTTTGGATAAGGATGTCCAAAGAAAGGCTGCCAACTATTTCGTGGGTAAGTCTGCATTTCCTTCGTGAAACCTGCTGAATCAATGATTAGTTCAAAAGCTTTGCCGTCGTCGGAAAGATTCAGAAGTTCTCAACGATGCAATACTTTACAGTGTTCAGTTCTTCCTGAATTATTTTCTGTTTTCCCCACCCAGGTTTTAATGGCATTGGGAACTAAACATTCCTTTTTACATTCAAGTAACGTTTCCTTGTCACGCTTGGATGTTTCAAAAATTCTGAGGTAGGCTAAATGCCGCCGAACATGGGAAATCCCTTGAGCAAAAATCAGAGAGGTGTTTTGATCTTGCCAATTTTTTTGCTTGATTCGGAGTGTGTTGGTTGTCTCAAAATTTCGAATGTTGAGCAAGAATTCGTTCAAGAAGTTATACAGTATGGCTGTTCCTGAAGTTCTTCGAAGAAAGTTAAGTTTATCTCAAACTAACTGTTTATTAAATGGTATTTTGAAGATTCCGAAAAACTCCGTGCAAGAGATGAATTATCAGAATTATTTTTAATTCTTGAATTTTATGCATTAGAAAATTCTTCCAATTTTTTTCAGAACCACGAAGAGCGTTAAATTTATTTTTATTGACGATGGAATGTGAAAACGTCTTTTTTCAATCCAAGAGGTTGCATTGAAGATGTCGCCCAGACCTGTGTTTATAGTTTTGGTCAACGATCTTCAATTATATTTTCCTGCGTTTAGATCTTCTGCAAGATGGTGCCTGGATTGGATTGTGTTCTCCGAAAAAAGTGGCTGCTGCCATTGAATCTATCAGCGCAACGCAGTCCTCGGATAGTCTTCTTCTGTCTGATGTTATTTCGGCTGGTGTAAAAGCAGTTTCGCAGATGCATCCACTGAAGAAGGAGCGTTTTGAGATATCCAATGTTCTGAAGACATTTTTCGAGAAGGAATTCGTGACAAATCGGCAGCGGGGCGTTGATGTCACTGAATCGATCCTTTTTGAGTGGGCGCTGGAGACCGTTGGATTGCTGAGACATGATTGTATTCGACCGGAATTGTTTCCTTTGTTGGTCGATCTTTGCAAACTTGGACATCCGAGATTGCATTTGGAAATGCAGGATGTCTTGAAGGAGTTCTGCACGGACTTGAAAAGTAAGACGTTCCATCGTTCGGAATGGAGTGACGCGAAAGTTGCCAAGAGTTTCCTAGATTTTTTGATGTGGAATTCTGTGCAGTTGGACGAAACGACTGCCAATGTGATGGTCAGTTTAGGAATTTGCGGCGAGGAACAGTTGCATAAACTTTTCCTGTCGAGTTTGAAATGAAGCAATGTTGTTCATTTGAGTACTGCATTTTTTTCAAGTGACTCAGTACTGACTACGTTCATCTTGGGGCTTCTTATCCTGAGTTTTACATGAGTAATATTTTTTAGGGGGCTTAATATTACTTGAAGCTTGAATTCACTCATGTGATCAGGAACTTAAACTGTGTACAGAACTAAAAGCGGTGATTCAGAATTAAGTCGAAGTTCATGTGAGGCAAAACGAAGTCAATTTTACATCAGAACTGTCACAGTCATGGATGCCCTTCTGAAAATTCACCATGAGTTGGCTCATATGTGAATGGAAAAAAGCACGAAGGTGGACGAACCCTGTTCCTGTAATATCAATTAGAATAGACTCATTTCTTTGGTCAGCTTATTGTTCAAATAAGGTTCACTCAGTGCGACAGATCCCGGCATCTTCTAATTTTCCTGCCGGTACATCTGAGTCATTTTCGTTGGTCAGTAGATGCTTTCTCCTGTAAAAGTAATCGTGTAATTCAGGACAGAATGAAATGATCCGGTTTGTTCGTGCAGAAGCACTTATTACTGTATTTAGCACAGTGCAGTACAGTATTATGAGTTCCATTTTACACGAAGTTATAGTAACCAGCGCAGGAATTCAATTCGGGCAGATTTGTGGTTCACTACTCCCATGCCGGTGCAAGAGGTATGCGTGCCCCCGTGAGGCGCAGCTTGTGTTCAATTACTGAAGGCCCCGCATTGTGTGACTTTTTTTTTTTTTTATCACAAGAAACGTGCGCATTAATGTACAGTAGTTCGGGTGTCGCACGTGGTCCAGTCATTCAGTGCCTCTTGTTTGTTCTTTCCCGGCTTTGATTAATGCTAAGCTTTTCGTGAGTATTGTACAAGTCGTGTATTGATGAATTTGGCGCCTCATGTTCGAAGTGGACCGGGATCTTCGGAGTCTCGAATAAGTTCTTCACGTGGCAGTTTTTATTTACTTGATGGTTCACGAAGTGCTCTATTCCTCCCCAAGGTTAGAAAAACGGTATCTGAACTTCTTTATCATTTCTCCTGAGAACCCGTCACTTTCTCAATTCGTTGCTAAACCAACTGGTTGGATGGAATGTGAACTGAAATGTGATTTCGTATCTTACTTTTTTAGGCAAATGTTCATGAATGATCTGAGTGATGAAGCTTTCTGATCTTCATCATGCTCGAGTGGAGTTTACATAGCTGGCTAACGGTTACATTTGTCGCGATCCTCGGTTCATTGACGAGTGCGGTTACGTTGTTCGTTGTGTGGCCGATTCGTAAGCCAACAGTTGAGCGCAAGATATGTTCGAAATACGCGAAGGATGCTGCGATTATTCAGGCGAAAGTTGCAAACGCCCAAGAAGAAGAAGATGACGTTCAGGATGTTTCCGTCCCGATCATCAACCCCAGAGTCGATCCCAGCTTGCACGCCTTGATTGATTTGTTCGTGAGAGACTTCTTCACCTCGTGGTTCTCCAAGCTGGCGGATGATCCAAAACGAGTCGAGAAGCTCTTACGGTGAGTACTGTCTTGTGCACCGATTTATCTTATTGTCTGCTGGTTCAGTTCATTTACAGTTCACGTAGTTGAAACGCTTAGTCCGAGTTCCTGATTCTTTCAAAAACGGAAAATGCGAACAACTTTGAGTATATTTGCCCAATTTTAAATTATGCAATTTCCATTTTATTTTAGCAATGATCTACACGTGTTTCTGCGGAACCTAAGGTTGAGGATTGAGAAGGTGGACAAGGTGCAATTTTTCGCCCACGACTTGATGTTGAAAATCACGCAGCATTTCGAAAAGATACGTGTGGCGCAAGCAATCCACTCGTAAGTTGTTCTTGTGGTAATGCAAATGCAAGGGGTAGATGTGGGAATGTCTTGCGAACTTTTTTTCGAAAGTGAATCGAAGGAGCGACAATTGAAGCCGACGAAGATTGTCGTTTCTTCATACCTTGGATCCGAAGAGCGGGAAGTCGCGTTTTTGAGGAAAGCATGCGAGGTTTTATTGATCATTTCGTTGCCGAAAAAATATTCGAAGTACAGATTGCCGCGGAGAATTCTTCGAGACATCATCACAACAACGAGTAAGTTTTCAAGTTCCTTTACAGTAGTTTAATACCATCCTTCCGCAAACGTCAAACTTCAATTGGGAAAATGTTCACTCCTGCGAACTTCAGATAAGTGTAGTGGAAATCAAAATATGTGATGTACGTAAAAAAGAAATGCAGTTTTGTATGGTAGACAAGTTCACTTCATTTGTAAATGTCGATACTGATTAACCATACTGCATAATTAGGGCCGTTTGTCTTTACTTTTAAGTGAATCAACCCTGAAAGATATGAATTCGGGTCACGCTAAGACCATCTGCAATGAACCTAAAAAAAATTTCGAATTTTACTTACTAATCTCATTTTGTTTCTGCAGTTTTGTATCCTTTGATAAATCAAATCTGCGATCCGGACTACCTGAATCAGAAAATCCTGACCAACATCAACAATCACGGGGCTTCACTTATACTGGATCTTCATACGACTGACACGTTTCGTCACGCAGCTTCTTACGAAGACTTCATGCAAATGATCCATGAAAGTTCCAGTTTTGATGAACTGCGGATCCTTCGGCACAGTATCATGACTGAAATCGCACAAGCTACGACGATCAATGACTTGAAGGTAATTATGGTCCACCAGAATCCTGATTTATTTTCAGCGAAGTTTGGAACATTTTTTAAATGCGGGCGGATACTCTCTACCGAGATCTTGTCTACACTGATATTCTCTGTATAACCGAATTATTTTTGGTCTCGCAAGGTTATCTACCCATACTCTACAACGAAATTCTTTCTGCAACTAATATTTGTCTTGTCCTATAAATTGTATTGTGGGGAGAGACCACCTATACTGTACTTACATCAATTTTATCATGAAATATTAAATAAACCTCGAAGAATTTTGAAATTTTAACGTTTTGTTCGCGAGGTTTTTCGCGGAACGACAAAAAGCAGTAATTGCGTTTTACCATTCTGTGATTTCTCGCTCAAATTAAACTTTGAAATTTATTATAAATTTGTTTGCCGGGACTTTAAATATTCGGTACAAGTAATTCATTTGTGTTATGAGATATTATTTAATTACATTCTGACGAAATCAGTGCGCGAACCAGTTGAAAGCTGGTATTATTTTATTGGCACAGGAAAGAGAAGAGCAGTAAAAATGTAACTTGATGGTCTTCGAAACGAAATGAAAGAATAATTGGGCAAACGAAACCTTGTCTCGAAGTTTGTCCTGCCAAGTTATTCTAGAACTAATTGAAGGCCTAGAATATCACCGTAAATTATAATTTCCTTTTATACTGTACTATACTTCTCCCCCACCCCCTCCACCGCCATAAATGTTTGTTTCCCTGAGCGAATTTGTAGCTGGTCCCTTGAAGTCTGACTCATACGGGTTCAACTGTAGTATAAATGAATCAATGTATGCTTCCAATTTCATGAAGCAACTTCATGCTAAGTACAAAAACTTGGCTTCAGCAATTTAATACTGACTTTCTCGACCGTTTTCAACAGGCATGCAAGGCAAGTACGAGGTCGGAAGGAGACGGCGCTGCGGACGGCCTGGGCCGAGCAGAAATGACGCACGTTCGAAACTTGGCTCGTTATTTGAACCAGCTCATGGTGGCCAAGAACCAGTGCGAACACCGAATGCTCGAGTTGACTTCGTCGGCCAAGGATTCGGCCCTTGCGGAAGACGCCGCCGGGACGCACGCATCTCCGCGCAACGTGTCTTTCGCGCAATTGTTGCGTCGGGCGCACTGTCGCCGGTTGCTGGAGGCCCACTTGCGGAAGAGCGAAGACCGCGAGGAGAACTTGTTGCGGCTCCAGCTCTGGATCTCTTTGGATGAAATGCAGCGAGGAGGGCAGAAGGAAGCACCACTTGTTGCTCAGGTGTGGGCTGCAAGAAAAAAAAAAAAACTTGTTACACGACAGTTGAACCCCCTTAAACCGCCACTCTTGATTCCTGCCAAGATTAAAAAAAATATATATATATATATAAATATATTGATTTGTCCAATGTTGAAGGGATGCGGAAACCTGATCAAATGTCATTTTCCAACGTTTTTCTGGTTCTAAACAGGCTTCTCTCCTTATTTTCTCCCCTTTCTAAACTTGCCATGTTTAAATTATGTTCCACCAAGGACTTCTTCTTAATCATGCTCTTCTCAATTTAGTTTTATTAATAAGCTGACAAGGTTTTCCTTTTTCCGAGCATGCTGTTCAAAGTTTATTTTGTTCGAAATAAATTTATTTTCTACGAGAAGCACTCTTCAACAACTACAGGTGGACTCTCTCTACAAAGATATTCTCCATGACGATTTTCTGTGTACAGTTTAAATATTTTTGATGCTGTTTGGAACGAAGGCATAGAGCTAGTCCACCTGTAATTTGTCTAGAATTTTAGACTAACTTTTTGATGAAGTAATTACTTGGAACGTCGCGGGAACTGCAACATTACGAACTCACATTTCTTCATCATGAACTTGATAAATTAATAATTCTGCGTAAAACGGAGTTGAGTCATCTTGACTGGGGCATCTATAGTGAGGTCAGGTCGTGTTTTTCGAGTACAGTGTTATGATTACAGAATGAAAGTCAGTGTGCAAATACGTGAGGCATTATGGGTTACATTTTCAGGTTCTCATGTGTTACAGGGGATTTGAAACGTTTTCACGGGACCAGATTGAAAAAAATGAGAATTTTCATAATTCTGTTTATTTTGCAGGCGATCTAATTACGGGTAATATTTTCAACTTCTCATTAATTGTTACCGGGGGATTTGAAACATTTTCACGGGACCTAATAGACTCTAGTAGTGGCTAGGATACCTGGCTTTCACCCAGAAGGCCCTGGTTCAATTTCCGGCATGGGAACACGCTTTTTTCTAGTAACTTTGTTTTTCTTGGCAGAATATACTGCATATCAGGCTTGACAAATATTGGTGGTGCAATTGTTTCCTTGAATATTGAAAACATAATATAGTGGAAAATTATTAGTTTTGAAAAAGTATCTAGAAAGAATTCTTTTTGACAATTGGATTTTGTATCCCTCCAACACAGTCACTCCCATGTGGTCTAGTGGCTAGGATATCTGGCTTTCACCCAGAAGGCCCGGGTTCAATTCCCGGCATGGGAATATATTTTGTTTGGTGGCTTTTTTCATTTTCTCTATAGAAAATGCATTATACAGTATCGAAATTCTGGCGAATTTTGTTTGCGTGGCATATTTTTAAATGAATTATTCGTGATTTCTTCAGTCAAAACACTTCTCTCCCAAAAGGGAACTGAAGATGAGTTCGATAGACATTTTGCGAACAATCACTCAGACAAAAAAAAGAATGCGTTTGTTGATCGCTGTTTCCTTACTTTCCCAAGCAAGTCAGCTTCATTTAAATATCTGACAACTCATCAATGATGGAAACGTCGTCCAGTGCAAGAGTTTTCAAGTATAAAAAATATCTGGCAAGCATTCATCATGAAAATCTAATTTTGTCTTTGCTGTACTCCAGTAGTAGTTCTCCCATGTAGTCTAATAGAAGAACGAAAAAATTTCATAATTTTCTTAAAATTTCTCTGGGGATCTAATAATGGGTAACATTTTCAGCTTCTCATAAAATGTTCCCGGGGATTTGAAACGTTTTCACGGTACGTGATGGCGAAAAACGAAAATTTCCATGATTCTTTTATTTATTTCGCAGGCGATCTACAAAGCATTTTTGGACAAGGATAGATGTGCAGTTCCGATTTCAGAACGTCTGCGAATCAAGCTCGAAGCCTATCTATCCGGCATCGACGAAACCGGGGAAGGATTCTACGACCTGAAAGTCAATACTGAAAATTTGTTATGCGCCAGCGTTTTCCGGGATTTCTTGGGCAGTTCGGAAGGTATAAACGCCATGAGTATCTTGTCGGAAAGTCAACAGTCTGGGGACGACCTGGATGATTTGAGTGTGGGTGAAACGTTCGGTTTGGGTAGTGGGAAAGTGAGAGGCTCTAAAGCAAGTTTAGTGGAGAGCGAGAAGAACTACGCACAATCGCAATTGAATTTGTTGGAAGAGAAGCTGAGTAAGAAGGTCAAGGAGCTGGAAGCTGCGAAAGCTGGTGGCAACGGAAGCAAAACTGCTGTCGGTTTGGAGAAGGACGTCAAGTGTTTGACTGACGATGTCCAGCAGCTCAGTTGGTGAGGATCTCTCCCATTTTCTAAATCAGTTTCAGGCAATTCCTTCGACAAAAAAATTGCATTTTCCTGAATTGTCTGAATTGCGAGGGTTGGATCCTGGGTTTTCCCCATTTTTTTCTATTGTTTGTTCTATGGCGGATTGAGATGGACTTACACTTCACAAGGTTATGTGACTTATGTCTAATAATTTTCTGAGCACTGCTCCGATTCTTGCTGAGCCTGATAGAAATAAGAGGATTTTAAGTAAGGAAACGAAGCTTACCTTCGATGCACTTCTGTATTTTATGAATTAACCTTCAGACTAATTTTCGAAATATATCAAGGCCATATTTACCGGAGTACCACGTGCACCTTTTTTCTCAAAATTGAAAGGGAAAAAAGAGGTGTCGTGTCATAGGCGAGGGTACAATATTCGAAATTTTTTTAGAAGTTTAGGTGCGTGTCATAATTGATTCTTATTTGTATGGGAAAATTTGAACCAATTCTAAATGGAGAAGTTTTCTTTAAACAAAGAAAAACTGAAAATTAATTGAATTTAGGTTCAATTCATGTCCAAATTGCAATTCTGGTGTCTCTTAATATTGAAATACAGCAAAACTTCGTTGCAACGAAGCCGTTGGAACCGGGAAAACGGCTTCATTATAATGGCGATTTGAATAAAATTATTATTCGGCAGGGACATGAAAAAATACTTCGTTACTATTACTAATGTGGTAATTCGTTGTACCGAGATTCGACTGTATTGCGGTTTTTCTGTTACTAAAAAATACGGGTACCCGTCTTGGGGAATGGATTCATAGTTTTAATAACAACCAACTTTTTAAGCCCACGCGCGATCTCTCCTTAGTTGAGAAGCCTCTTCTAAAGAGTATAAAGTGTCGTACACAGTTTCTTTCCAAATGTAGACCTTTTATAGAGCCAGTGGTATACTGAATGTTAAGATTGCGCTAAATTTTAATTATTGAGCGAGAAAGTGTCCAAGAAAGGGCTTTCGTTCAAGGATAGCCTTAGAAGTTGGAACAGAGGCTTTTCATGGATCTCACGTGAAATTCTGATCGAATTTAAAGAACATTTTATTTTGTAGAACATTCGCTCGTTTTCGGAGTGGTTTGATTAAAATTACCGTTTACGAGTGAATGAAAAATGAAGCGTTTATGAGAAGTGATGTGCATTTTAAACATTAATTTTTATTCCCACTTTTTGTTTCAAGTTTCGCAGCCAGATCAGCGTTATGGTCTGAACACCTCGGCCAATGGCGAGCTTGCATTCAGAGTGTGGAGGCGACCGAAGATGGCCTCATGTTCCTCCTGGTGGTTCAAAAAGAAGAGGCCATGTTGAGTCCAGTGGAAGCTCCGAATGGTCCGCCGATTTCCTCGTCGACACCCGAGACCACCGACGGCGGACTGGATGGCTGGATCGTGTCGCGGAAATTGGCGGAGTTTCATGAGCTGCGACACAGAGTCGGATTAATTGCCGGGGACTCTTTGAAATCCAAGGATCTGCCTGCTTTGGGATCTGGGAAATCGTTTTTTGGACGCGGTTGGGACCGGGCTGAGTTGGACAAGGCCCGAGCCCAGGTTCAAACCTTTTTGAATGTGAGTTTCGTGTTGAAACATTGACTGAGAATGTCTTTCGTATCAAATCTTGATTTGATTAGAGGTGATCAGGTACGGATTTTGCTTGAAAATTTCGAGTAATCAATGCATCCAAGTGAATGATGTTGTCGATGCTCCGTATTGCGTAAAAACCCGTCGATGCACCTTACGCTTCTCAACATCACTACGTTATTTCATCTTAGAGCAATAATGCTTAGTTACCGATGCCGCTTAAACAAAAAACCGGGGACAGGTTACCGGTGAGTCAATAAAATTAAACGTTATAACGAAAATGTGTTAATAACTAAGTTTTTTTACGGTTCAAAATGCTTAGTTTTAATGAGATTCTGCTGTATTTAACATTGTACTGTACATTGATATTGAAGGTACATCATTGAGCTCGTGAAATTAACTTCAATGTTACGGACGTTGTTCTCCATTCCCTTTGAAGCTTATACGAAATGCCCGTATCAGAAAAATTTTATGGCAGAAAAAAAATCACTCGCCTTACGAAAACGCGTCGCTTTGCAAATTTTTTTGCGTGTTTTCGTGCACTTCTAATTTAAATTCCGGACCTACCCTTCATCGGTTTTTCTCAAGTAATTTTCATTTTTAGAACCCTCTGCAGTCAATCGTGAAACAAATGGAAGGGCAGAAAACAGCTTTTTGAGTGGTGACATCTGGTGACTATACGTGGGAAGGTCAACTCTACATTGGATTCTTGTACTGTACACAAAAAAAGCAGGAAGAAATAATGTTGATCATCTGATTTAGCCAATAAAGTGAAAAAGAACGAGTGTAGAATTATAGGTGCATAATTGTTCTCATTTTTAATTGGGCTTCAAAATCTTGGGAAAGAATTGAAATTTTCTAGGTGTATTCTTTGGAGAATATGAGATGCACATACCGAAAAAAAAAACCAGAATGGATTAGTTTCGTATTGGCGGGGGCCCACTGTATTGTTTTCATTTGTTGTGTGTGAACTTTCGGACAGTTTCTGGGAAATCAATTTCTGGATCTGTAACAAATCTTGTAGTTCTGATCGTAGAGCAAAGTTGCTTAAGTTGCAACTTGGAGAGGAGCAGGACAACTGCAAAAGAGGTGCGTACGCGGCGGGTATTCTGTTACGGTACAACTTTTTTACTTTTGGTAATCTACAAGACGATATGAAAAAAAAAAAATCTGATGTTTTCACTCTCAATTTCCTCTACTCATGACAACGCAGGCGGTTTTGAGGAACGAACGTTTGAGCCACAGCGAAGACGTGTTCACCTTTTTGTGCCCGGTGCCAGAACATCTTCTGCGTCCCGGCGGCAGTTGTGGCTCGTCCTCTGCCATGTTGTCTCCCGCGGAACCCGGGAAACCCGGCAAGGCGAGATTTTCCCTGTCGACGCTCTTTCAACGCGACAAGATGGACGATTTGACAGGGAAGTCGGATGAAGACGTCAATAATGGGAGCAGTAGCACGGAGCAACAAGTGGGCTTGATGGAAGGCAGTGGTGGCGGGTCTCGGGATTCGATTGCAGAGCCCCTGTATGGACTAGTGCAAGAGGTGTTCGAGGTTCAGGGGATTTTTCGATGGCTGAGGAAGACGTTGATCACGTTTGTGCAGATCACGTATGGGAGAACCATCAATAGGTGCGCTGTCTTCTTTTTTTTCTTCTTCGAGCGCCCTGTATCGTTTTGTGAGACTTGAGTTTGGATTCTTTCAATGCCAGGTACTGTTTTTCACTTGAGTAGCATGCGCACCCTTTTTTTCTCAGAAATAGAGGGAGAAAAATCGGGTGCACGTGGTCCTCAGGGATACATTTAAAAGAAAAGAAAAATCCCCAAGATGGGTGCCCCTCACACATGGAAGTATATTTAAGCAAAAAATGAATAAATGAAGAGGAAATGCGTGGTGCCAAGTCTCCTTGTCCATGTGAAATGATGGTTTAAGCAATAACAATACAGATGGACCCTCTCAACAACAATCTTGTATACAATGATTTTCTCTGTATAACAAGTATTATGTTTGATCCCATGGGGTTCTCTCCCAGTCCATGTTATAGGACAGTGTTCCCCAACCCATGGTCTGCAGCTGTAGTTGGTCTGCAGAGGTTTTCTCCTGTTTCACAGGAAATTTTCTTCAGCAAAATACGTTTATCAAAAGTGACAATGAAATCTGTTATTCTTATCTGAAATTTTGGAAAGACAAAGACAGTTGAAATTATCTGATGTAAAAGGAAAGGTGGCTTTTCTTCGAATAATGCTTCAAATAAATTTTCAACTGCTGAAAAAATTTCAAATTTTGACTCTGAGAAACCTTTATTCCAGCCCAACTTTCTAATTGTTTGGAGACATTTCACTAAACCTTCTTCACTGGATCTAAAGTTTATTTTTGAAGATTAAGAAACCTTTTATATATCTGCTATGAAGTCTTGAAACATTTTTTTGAGTTTGCAAAAATAGCATGAAACTTTGCCTGTCCACAACTAGAATTGCGAACAATTTTAGTTGGTCTGAAAAAAAATTTGCTTGTTGTTTTACCCAAAATAGGTTGGGGAACACTGTTATATGGGATTCTCTAGAACAAATTAATTTCTTATCCCATAAATTTGTTGTTGAGAGAGTCCACCTGTACTACCAGTGTCTTTTTTTTGCCATGATTTCATTCTTTCCTAGGTGTCGCCTGAATCGGTGTATGATTTTGAAGGTTTAAATTACAGGATATGGAGGCCAGTTTACGCTCCGAAGCTGAACCAAAAATCTCTCTGACCGAGTATATTGACTGTTGGGAAATCATTTTATTTTCGCAGGCAAATACGGGAAACAGTGTCATGGCTGGTGTCGGATGCGATGGTCATCACGTATTGTGGGTTGGTTAAGGAAGCGTATTGGCCAAAGGGGAAGCTGGCCCCGGCTGCTCAACCAAGGAGCGATGAGCAGAAATTGAGGACGAGGTACGAGGCGAAGGAGAAATTCCTTGTTAGCGTACCTGCGGTGGTCTCAAATTTGGTGGGGCAGCAAAATGGCAAGAGAGGTGCTGTGCGGATTTTTGAAACGATTCAAGACCACCGACTCAATAAACAGTTGGTTTACGTAAGTATGACTTCGACCCCTTTCTCTGCAACTTGTGGCTGTAATAATTTATTTTCTTGAGTACCACCAGCAGCTTTAAATAAAAAAAATTGAGATTGAATAGTGGGTTTCAAATATTGGGTCAAATTATGGATGCCCTGCACACTTCAGACACATTCAATGAAAGTTTAAAAAAATAATTCCTTAGAAATTGGAATGAATAAAATTATTTGTTCAGGCTCAAAGCAAACGGGCAAAAGAAAATGCAGCACTATTGAATACAAATTTTCTTTGCCTAAATTTCAAATTTTGCTGTTTATTTCCTCAAATAAATTGATTCATGTGTCTCAGAAAAAGGGGTTGTACTTCTTTACAAATGTTCTCAAAATTAAGGTGCGCAACTTGCATCAGGGGGTATGGAATTTAAGTAAATACATGATTCAGTTTCTTGATTTTGAGCTGAAGAAGAATAATTGAGGCCCTTCATGAAAAAGAAAAAACACATTGAGCGACGTTTCAAACATTTTGAAAGATTGATTTTCCCCCAAAGGTTTTTTGTGGATTTCTTTTTTTTTTTTTTAGTAGCTGAAGATTAGTGTTTTGAAGTACCTGAAAAATTGGAATGGAAATGGGGTTTGGCTTGATTTCAAGGGATTTAATTTTTAAATGGCCGTCTTCGTCTTACGTAGGAATACCAGTCATTATGGGAGATGTGATTCAGTGATTTTATACTCAGAGATTAACCCCATTTCAAGAGTCCTGATTTTTCATGATCCACCAACAAATTTCTGTTGTTGAACAGATGCTGTTCATGCATCAGATCCTAATTTTTTAATGTTGCTATAGAATAGAATCGTTGCTATAGAATATGTAAGAAAACCGTTTGTTTGCTTCTTCTCTGTGCATTCATCAATGATCATATTTATTCACTGCATCTTGCAGAGTGTATTGGAGGTGCTATTGGAGCAATTGTGCCCGGAGTTGACAAGCAACGGATCATTACCATGAGAAATGAAACAAAGAGGATTCCACGCAGAAACGAAACATTGTGACACGACATGATACCGTGATTTGATGTGCAATTTATTGTTTGATCTCTAGTTTCTGGCATCAGTATTCAGTGTACGCTTCATTCAGTATAATGAATGTGTGTTGCTATTTTGCATTCTGTTGCTCCAGTGTACGACTTCATTGTTTCCTTGTGCTCATGCGTAACGTATTTTTATTTTATTTTTTTCAGGGTGCGGGAAATGGTCGATTTTCTGGGTTCAAGTGCGTTTCTTTTCTGTTGAGTTGTTTTCCAAGTGATTTGGAGCTTGTTGGTGCAGTGAGGGCAAAATGGAGGAGTACGCACGGGAGCCGTGGTTAGTGAATCTCCAATTCCATCTTGAACGCGGATTTATGTCTTTGAAAATTTGATGTTCCCCACATAATGCTCCAGTAGAAGCCCCTGTGACAGTCACTTTCAAAATTCTCCTCAGCTCCCGGAAATAACAGAATATTCCACCACATTAGTATTCGATTTCTTCATGTACATCTCTAAAATTGAGACTGGGTCCAAAGAAGCGCTAAAACTCGTTGTAAACAGAGTACTGAATAAAAAAAAGCAGATATTCATTTTATACGAATGATACTCGTGCGTGTTTTGTAAAATGTAAAAAAAAATTGAATATTAATTATTGAGATCAGCTGTTATTTGGCTGCGTCTCCTGTGGAGCAAAGAGTTTAAGAGACTGAATATTTAGTGCATGTGCACGATTAATCGAATTTTAATGAATCATTCGAAATGAACATATTCTGCTCAGAGCTTGATAGAAAAAAAAAAGAATTCAAAATTCTCATTGTCATATCGTTACACCGCATTTCTGAAGGGACCCTGGAATAATTCGTTGATATCATGTTCAACTTTTCATTCTAGTCCGTGGCGTATTGTGGACGATTGCGGCGGTGCCTTCGCCATGGGGGCTATTGGCGGAAGTGTTTTCCAAATCTTCCGTGGATTCAGGAACGCCCCCAGTGTGAGTACTGCACATTTAAAGACTAGTTGGTGAGTGGAATCTATCAGTCACTTACCATCATGGAAGATTAGGACGGTGATGTGACGAAACTATCGATTTTCACTCGTGTCTATAACTCATTTCACCAAAGTTAAAGTTTGTATAATTTTTATTTGAAGCTCGCGTTTAATCTTGAAAATGATGGAGCAACTTGAGAGAGAAGTAGTGGTAACTGTATTGTTCTTGATATTTAACTGGATGTCCCCTTCCCGGGAAATCAAAGTTTCGCACTGTACTTGAGATTTTACTCTTTGTAGTACTGTACTGTTTGATGGAGATTCGCAGCTTCATTCTGAAATTTAATCGATTATTTATTTTACAGGGCATGAATCGTCGCCTATTGGGGAGTCTGCTGGCGGTGAAAGAACGTGCACCGATCATAGGCGGGAGCTTTGCCATTTGGGGAGGAATGTTCACAACTCTGGATTGTTCCCTAGCACACTTACGAGGAAAGGAAGATCCCTGGAACTCAATCATGAGTGGCGCAGCCACCGGAGGCATCCTAGCGGCCCGAAGTGAGTGTGCTACTGTACTTCGAATTACAGTATATTACTGTAATTACGTGGCGCAATTTTATTTTCATTCGTCTATTTCTTAGATGGGCCAGCGGCAATGGCAGGCAGTGCTGTCATTGGTGGAGTGCTGCTTGCTTTGATTGAAGGCATTGGTATCATGTTCACTCGAATGTCGGCAGAACAATTCAAGCCGATGAATCCACAGATGGAGGAAGCACAACCAGTCAGTACCCCTTTTGGGCAGCAACAACAGTATCAGTAGTAACACTAGATCCACTTTGAATTCTCTCAAGTGCAATTTTGGAATGTGAAGAAATGTTTTTTTTTTGAGTGGCTTCTTGGTAGGAAAATGGCTGATCGATTTTTCGGCATTGAGCAAATTCTGTCTCGAATTAAAAAAATTTCAGCTGAACATCGTGTGAGATTTATGGAGGATGTCTGCTAATTTCATTTCAGATTTGTCTAGTCATTTCTGTACGCAGATTGAAATTTGTCAAGATAGTTTATTTTTCGATTATGTTCATAAAAATAGGGATTTTTTTATAAGTCAACTAAGTTTCACGAACATGTTTGCCGGGACTGTTCTCCTGAATCAACTTTTCCCACCTGTATATGACAGTAATTCATCAGGAAATTAGTTAAAGATCAAAACAATTATTTACCAACTCATTCCATGTGCCAACATACAAAAAAGTCGAACAAACGATTTGCGCGTCTTATTTTTCAGGACGACCACATGAGATTGAATGCGCAGCCTGAAAAAAAGGAAAATGTCAGTAACATCAATCAATGACAAAAATCAGTGACTTACATAGCAGGATTCATTGTTGCACATGAGCAACTGGCATGTTTGACACAAAATGTCGACCGGCATAATTCGGCAAACCGCACACGGGCCATTCACGCTCCCATCCGCAGGAGCTGGCTGGCTGCCACATGTGACCTGCAACACAATTCATGCATACAGTACATCGAATAGTAATAAAATCTAATTAAAACTCACTTCATTCCCTCCTCGGTTTTGCATCAACATCATATGCCGCCTCTGCACATCATCGAGGACCTGTCTCTGCTGCTCCAGTGGAACAGGTGTCGTCTGATCGGAAGACATGTGCCTGACTTGAAGGTCAGATGTACTTCGAGGCTGAGCTTGATGCCAGGAAACTGTATTATTGCCAGAGTTGGACATCGTTGTCTACAATAAATTTGATAAATCATCAATGGAAGAAAATATCGAAGACTGTCGCGCTTGAAAATTTGTGATGACCATTCATTTTCTGAGAAAAATGAGACAATAATTAGCTTTACCTCGGGAAATATCTGAATGTCACATCTCACACCTTGACCTGAATAAGATAGTACCTCACATTTTGAACACAAAAGTCAGAAGATCTCCCCCATGTAACCAGTTAATGATACAGTAAACGAGAAAAAGTGACAGATTAAAATGTTACGCCCACAGTTGGCACTTGAAGATGGAAATGACACGTGGATCACTGTTAGAAGTGAGCACCGTAAATCCATTCTACATGGCACAATTGCACAGGGAAATGCTTCTCATCGTCTGAATACCATATTCAACAAGTTAACAGACTCTCAGATGCACAAATGCAGCTTAAAAATCAATTGTGTCCCGAATCTTCGGTTCTACTGTAGGTCAACATTTTGAAATCATTAATTTTTCATTACTTCATGACTGCGAAAACTCTTTCCACCAAAAGTTACTACGGCAAATGAGGGACATGATGAACAAAGCCCTTTCTATCTTTGCAAATGCAACATGCCATAAGGAAAATCCCCGCATGCAATTGGGAAAAAAGACACTCACTGGATAGACGGTACGTGCATTCACATAGGCATCTTGAGAAGATACAGCATGCATCCGCTGCACTTGGCTGTGCGGTTGCATCTGCTGCACTTGGCTGTGAGGTTGCATCTGCTGCACTTGGTTGTGCGGTTGCATCTGCTGCACTTGGTTGTGCGGTTGCATCTGCTGCACTTGGTTGTGCGGTTGCATCTGCTGCACTTGGTTGTGCGGTTGCATCTGCTGCACTTGGTTGTGCGGCTGCATCTGCTGCACTTGGCTGTGAGGTTGCATCTGCTGCACTTGGCTGTGCGGTTGCATCTGCTGTGTGGTTGGCTGCCCATAAACGCAATGCACTGGTGAGAAGGAGGAGGAAATGACAGAGCACTGTTAGAATGCATACACAAAATATCATCCTCAACCTTGTGGCAGTGAAGGATTCTTTGACCATGCTGGATTTTTGGGGTATGTCCGAAGTTTAGGATCCCAGTCCAACAATACTTTAAAAATACAATAGGGAGGTTTCTAAAGACATCCAATCAATTAAGCACATGATGAAGATCTCATCAAACCCTGTCATCAGCCCAGACCAATGACTGCATGACATTGGCTCACCACCTTCCTGATGGGGTTCAGCTATTTTAATAATTTTTCTCTTTAGAAAAAACAAAGAAATACAGTACTCTTCATTTTTTGAAGTAAGATTCAAACAGTCAGATTCAAATAGCTCACATACACTGAAGTTCAGGCTGATGATACTTTTTCAAAGCATTCTATACACAGTAGTACAGATGGTACCACATGAAATTCCTGAACGCTTTGTAAAATACAATAATTAAAAATTTGCGACAAAAAATAATTCAATGGGAACGAAATTTACTGAAACTGCAAAACTAAACTCTAATGAGAACCAAGCATCTTGGAAACTGGGAGAAAGTACTTCCAGAAATCTTTTCTCAGATTTGAGTAGTTCACTGCTTTTCGCAAAATAATCAAAACATTTGATCAATTGATTGGATATTTTTCTCCCTCAAATATTCATCATTAAAAAAAGAAGCTACAATACTGAAAACAATTATAGTTGATGATGGAAACAGCCAGTTACGAACCATAAAACTCATGGTACCACCCAGATAATAGCAACCCCTCAGCAACTATCTCCCCTTCCAATAAATTAATTATAAAAGAATTGCTGGTACCATGGGTTCCATGATTGCCAAAGTATTCATCATTTCTCTATCTCAGCATGCAAGCAACAAAGACAAGAAGGCAACCAAAGGATTTATAAACCCACCTTGTGCATAATGATGCACTATGCTCTGAGAGACATTAGGGTGATGGCCTGCCATCTGGCCCGCCACTTGCCGCTGATACCTGGCCAGTCTTGGGTCTCTGGAAGCCGCGTTCTGCGCATTGTTCTCCACCATCAACATTTGTTGCTGCTGCTGGGCCTGGGGGTGGACTGCATAGTTTCTCGACGAATTTTGCGCGATATTCGCATGAAAATGACTGTGACTCGCTGTCTCCTGATGAGGCTGCTGTCGCATTGCAGAGGTAGCCTTGGTAAAGCAGAATAAAAAAAATCAGGCATCAATTTACGGGGTTTCACCAATTCCAGTCTTGGATGAACGTAAATTTCACAAAGGCTAGGTAACATAATTTCCTAATGAATGCTCTCAAGTTTCGCTCCCACGTTGGGATGGAAATGACTTGTAAGTTGCAAAAAAATTACTTTACAGCTGAGCCCCGACATACGGACGATTTAACCCAGGGACACTTGCCTATTAATGGAACCTGCCCTGACATCCAGATAATTTCTCAAGATACGGACACTGCCAACTTTTTCCATAAAATCCAGCAAATTTAATTTTTTATACTTTGATATACAGTATCTTCAAAAAACCGAGCAATTTACATAAAACAATTTCAATTGATTCACTCTAAATTAAAAAACAAAAAACAGGCTGATTTTGTGTTGTTTTTTTTTCTTCATCATGTGAGCAGTGTAGCAAAATTCGTGCTTGTTTGTCGCTTCTTGAGCTCCTTTTCATGCCAAATAGTCAGATTCTGTGAGGTTCACTCCTGAACAGCTATTTTCTGTTTCTCGTGGTTGAGGAAGAATTTCTTATTTCATACTTGGTGGAATTTTTGATAGTTTTTTGATGAACAGGGGAACAAATTAAATATGTTTCCATCACAATTTCGTCCGCATCTCGCGGCCCCACTATTGATTCAACTTCCACATTCACAATTTTAATAAGATTTGATTGGGATCTAATGCCTAACAAATTATTCATAAAACTCCCTTGCAACAATTTCATACCAATTTTTCAATCACACACAAATTTTCTTCTTTTTCAATTTAGAGATTCATCTTTGAAAAGTACTGATGACAACCCCGTTGAGTGAATTTATTTGATTAGATCAAGATGAATTTGCTTTTGTAAATCCCATTTCAGGAAGTATAAACCAATATTGTAATGACCAAGGAAATGGTCCTACACAAAATTCATACAAACTTCCTCATTCAGGAATACAAAAATTTCATAATTCTTGTAGGTATACTTTCATAAATGGCCCCCCTAATGACATTAATTCAATCGATTGAAATGAATTGCTAAATTCAGAGATGCATATGAAGGAACTCTTTAGAAAATAAACTATGACTATCATTAAATCTAACCATTCATTGCCCTTGATACTTTTGGAAATTTTAAACCCAAAACGTTGCATGCAGACTTCAATCCCAATACCATGACAATAAAATGTGAACCATTTCTTGGACTAGACACTGGAAATAAATTACCATTCCAGCAGCATAAGATCCAGAGACGTTTGCATTGACACCAGTGGAATGAACCAGCATCTTCAAGGCCTGCAAAAAGGACATAATTTCATGAATGCGTCAAATATACGGTGCAGTAGTTATAGGGGATTTTGTAGTCGAGCCGAACTCCGTATTAAATACATAACTCAACACGTCTTCCTACTTGGCAATGGAATATGAAACAGTACTTTAAATTTAAATTAGCCGAAGTTGAATTTTAACTCTTCTGCACATACACTACAAATATCTGAATAAAACAGGAATAATGCAGAAACGAGACAAATGTCAGCATGTAATCATCGATTCATCAAAAGAAAGTTTCAACATAATTTTCGCATGAATAATCTGAACCAAGAATTTACTTAACACAATTTTCCGACTCAATAATCTGATAATTATGAATGAACAAGATGATCTCACCGTCATATTCAGTTGGTTGTTCGCGACACTTTGCTGCTGTAACTGAGATCGTAAGAGAGTTGATCTTGGTGCACGGGGAATTTTCAGTATATTCGGTGGCTGCAAAAAACGAAACAAAAAACAACATTTCAACTTTCAATGCACCGCAGAAATTAAAATTCACTCTTAGGCTTCAAAGTAGATGACAATGTATGGGTTAAATTTGTAGGTA